GTTGAAGTATTTCCGTTTATGAAGGACTTCTCTTCAAGAGATTATCTATTAGTATCAGTGACTTAAATCTGGGAGTGTCAGAGAGAGGCGGTTTAGCAGAATAATAGCCAAACGCGTTAGAAGCGGGTCACACTCAAGTTCTGGACATTATTTCACACTAAAATTCATTTTCTTAGCTCGCAGTCAGGTTGAATGGGGCTGTACAATTGAAGCTCACGGTTTGACAACAAAGATTACAAAGTTAATTCCAACATAAAGGCATAATAGAGTAACCAATGAACATCACCATCATCATCAAAGACAGCAATATCAGTGTTGACACCACTGCCGTACAAACATAACGTTCATCTATTAATATTTAATGTCTTAGAGTGAAAGGGAGAGAAAAAACGTGGGTGAGGGGGGGGGACATGGTGCTGGATTATGTCAAGCGTTCTGAGGTGCGTATACCTCCAACCGCTCAGTCGGACAATCTGCGCGAACGCCGCTGACATCGATTAGTTGGCATTTCTTGCAGTGTCTCCACCAAAGTACGGGCGGAATCACGGGCACCCCATTCTGGAGGGAGCTGTCTCCACCAAAGTACAGGCCGAATCACGGGCACCCCATTCTGGAGGGAGCACAACACCAACAACACCCAAACTCTTCGTGATCTCTTTCACGCCTTTTTGCCAAGTCATGTGCTGTCCACCTCGCGGTTTGCGCCATCCAGAAGGAGGCACGGAGACTCGTCTCGGTAGATAGTGTTTTGGCGAGGGTAGCACATGACCGAGCCATCGTAGTTGGTGGTGCTGGATGTTTTCCCGGAATGAAGTACCAAATACCCGTTTTCTAATCACCTCGTTATTAACACGCTGACGCCATCCATCCTTCTGAGGCATCGGTGGTCGAAAACCTGAATGCGCTTCATATTATTTGTCCGTACATTTCTCGCACCGATACCACAACACAGCCCTTAGTGCAGCCTGGTACACACGACCTTTACGATCTAATGAGATGCCTTTTTGATGCCACAAGTGACGCAAATTAGCAAACATGATTTGAGCCCTTGAGATTCTTGCACTGAATTCATCAGACACACTTCGCTCAGAACTAATACAACTACCGAGGTTTGTGAAGTTTCCCACAATCCCCAGTGATTTCCCTTGAATTGTAAAGGATATGTTCGCAAATGGCACGTTCTGAAGCATGTCTTGGCACTTTGAAGATGCATCAAATTGCCTTTCAGGACTATCCACTGACTGGAGTGATTTGGGCACAGCGGAATCCAAGATTTATTATTTTGTGCAAGGCTACTGAGGTAGACCACACCAGTGAGAATTCAATCCCCAGGTTGGTCCAGAAACCCATATTTGCTAAGGTTCCTTGCTCAACAAGTTTACTTGACTCCACATCTTCGAGTCCTACATCGCTGAAGGCCATTTTTCTTACCGTCCACATCTTCGATCTCATCGCCACGGTACACGTCATTGAACAAACGCATGTTTCTTCAACCTACATTCTCATGGCTTTTTGCGCTTACTTCCTTTTGCAGTTCACCTCAAGCAGACTTTTGCCAATTCATAAAGCCAATCGGTTCGGTGTGCTTTTCGTAAAGTTTTCGTCATTCTATACGAAAAGTCACGTTAAGCAAACGCCATGGGACGTGCATGTCTAATTGTGAAATACAGTGTCTCGGGCGAACAAGCCACAGGTCACCTTGAAATGAAAAAAAAAACAAATTTGGTCCGCCGGGTGGTTATTGAATAAACTCTAACATGCACAGCACAGCTTTGTGTTGCATAGTGGCGCAAGTTTTTTTGAATGTGAACTCATGCTCAAAATCGATTTCTGGATTGGGTTTAAACGAATTGGACATTCGGGAACCGAAACAAAATAGACTATTTTGATGGTTTATACTTCGGTTATCACAGTTTTTTCATAGACGCGGTTGGGCCATTTTCTCACATGTCAGCAATGTTCTAATGTCGACCGCTGACCAAACGTATGTCGGGGACCATTGATCGCACCAGCCAAACGGAATATTCAGACAACGCATGCTAGCAGTAACGATCAATTGCCAATCGATATTGTTTCAAGCGGGACTGTGCTTCTGAAAATCGACTGATCTGTTATTCGGACTATTGTGTTGTTTCTGCGCTAACCGCAGAGGCAAACCTCCAGAGACTAATTTCGTAAAATCCATTTTCCGGTTTCCAGGATTGTGATCATATCTTCTCAGAAGGTACAACCAATTCCAATGGATTCAAGTTGGTGGAAAAACATGTGACTCACAATGGTTACAAACATCACTTTGTTTCGCAAAATGAGAGAAAACCCCATGATATAATCACACCCTAGAGAACTAATTCAGAACAAATCACTTTTCTACAACCAATACTGAGAGTTGAAAAAAAAGTAGAAAGAACGGAAAGACAGACGGTATCTGTATTTATGAGCACAAGAAAAACAGAAATATGATTTCGTGTAGCTGCTCATGTGGAAAACAAAACTGAAACACATTACCAAGCGCCAGTAAATCACGTCCAGCGTCCCCAACCAAAGCACCACTAGAGTGTTTCTGCAATCAACAAAGTCTTGTGAATGACGTCCAGCCATGTGCGCGTAAAGCCTCAATGGAATGTCACAATTTCGTTTATAGCATGTGGCTTGTTGTCTCTACTAGACGTGCTCAAGTAATGCATCTCTGATACGGACTCCCGGTCAAGGGTTCCTTCCAAAACGTAAATAAAATTTTAAGGAAATGAGTGTCCAGTAACGAGGTACGAGATTCATAAGAGTTAGTGAGGCCTTAGGGGAAGATTTGCTCGACAGCCGCAAGTCGGAAGATCTGAATAACGCAGGTTTTCATCTCTTCAGAAACCCACAACTCGACTTGCATCAGCAGTCGGTTTTCACGGAAATCCATTCTAAAACAATTAGATCCCAATGCAAGGAAGCTCCGTATCTACGATATGGAGATTACGCCCAATTCCAAAAATGAAGGCACTGGATCTCGCTTAACTGTCGTCTTTGTGCCGGCTCAATCAAGATCAATGAAGGTTGATGAGGTGAATTGCCTTTATTTATCGTATCAGCATACATCCCGATGAACTACCCCGATCTGTCGCGATTGCCTGGGTCAGCAAGGACGGATATAGCAATCATGGCGGTCGATATGAATGCCAGATTCGTACGACGGAGTCCGGAAGAAGCACTGTTAGGCGGTAGAGTTGGAGTCGATGATCAGCATACTAAAAATTGGGAGTGACTGCTTCAGTGGTGTGCTGATTATCATGTGTCCCTGGCGAGTACGAGCTTTCAGAAAAAGCGCCCACATTGAGTGATTCGAAGGCCACCAACCGCAAGCCAACCATGGACTCAGCTTAATCACGTCGCTATCAGTTACCAATGGAAAGCCTCAATAAAGAGTGCCATTCCATCCGAGTTGCGCACCCTCACTTTGATCATGCCATTGTGAGAGCTCAGTTAGCACTTCGCCTACCGTAACCATCACGCGTTTCAAAACGGACCAACTCCATTCACCAAATTCGACCAGTTTCAGTAGCTCAACACCACCGAGCTGACCTGACTGGAAGGCTATTGGGAACGCACAGCCATTCTGATGACGATGAGTGCATGGAGGTTGAACGGAAGCGAGGTGGGAAACTCATGCCCTCCCCATTCAAAACTGTTTTATCCAAGATAGATATCATCCAAACCAGTTTTATTGCTGCCAGGAAAGCCGTACTGGAAACTAGCGACTATGTTGGTATACGAAGATCCTTCGAAATCAAGAGCTTGGTGGCTAGCAAGACCAAATGATATGTAGAAGGCATCCGCTGCTGGTAAAAGCCTCGCCCCATTCTATTTGATTCGATCAGCCGGCCACTAGGCAGGTGTCAGTGAAACAAGATGCGAAGACGCGGGAGTGGTATATCATCTGGAGCGACTAAAGTGAACACTTTAAACAACAGTTTAGCTGGTCTCGTTCAACATAATGGCCGGAAGAACCCAAGCGGCCTGAATGGAACACCAATGCCAGCCCGCAGTCTACAACAGAAATCCAGATTGGGATATCATCCGTCCAGCACTACAATGGATCCTTGCCGGCTGGCTTGCGACCCACACTTTTCAAAGAATGTGAGGATGTCCTGGTTAGCAGTTTGATGACCGTATTACGGAAGACTTGGGACGGAAACAGAATACCAGTGGGATGGGGCGCCTTGACCGTCATTCGTCTTCAGAAAGGGGTCAAGAGCGGCATGCGAAAGCTATCATGGCATCAGCCTGGTAGCCATCGCATCCAGCGTGATCTCTGGTATCATTTTACACATGTTGTTTGATTATAATGAGAGACGAACCCGTGAGGATGAAGCCGGAGTCCGCGTTGGCTGACCATAACTTTCCCTTGAGACAAGTACTTGAAAAGCATCACTCTTTCAACCGTCCCACGGTGGTCGTTTTTCTTGATCTGACGAGTGCATTTGACCGTTTTTAAAACGATGAAAGCAAGGGAAGACAAGATCCGGTTTGTGTGGGTTTCATTCATTGCCAGGCATTGATATAGCACGGTGCGAATGCCGGCAGAGTACGTCATGGTGTATCGTGTGGAACTAACACGACCCACCCTAAAAAGGGAAAACGCCCAGGTCTTAACGAAATTGCTTCCGGAAGTCGTCACTCAAGGAAAACATTAGCGCCGTGTTGAGCGACCAGAATCCGTATGGTTGTGGGCTAGCTATACTATATCCAGTTGACCGATCATCGGTGCTCTTCACAGTTTGTCGGTGCATCTATTAAACCCTCAGACATGTAACGGAGATGAAACAGATCTCGAAAGCTTTTAAGATTTCGATCTTGATTCGAATTCACTTTAGTTGAAGAAACCTGGATGCACATGGGCTACTCAAGTTCAAACGGGCCCCGCGAGGGAACTGAGTAAATAAACACAACAGTTGCTTCGATCATTTGAACCAGGTAGCAAGAATTAAGATAAACTCGCATCAGTCGCGACTTACTTCAACTACTTCGACCTCTTCCAATAGAAAACAGGGACCCGAGGTGGGTGCAATAAATGTGACCGAGGATTAGTTCACAACATCGTTTGACGCATCTTCCCTGTTTCCGTTTTAGCAAGTTCCGGATATCGTGTGCTTTTGAAGCTGGTTGTTTCCGACTGTGTGCTCCGACACGTGAGCGAAACACACGCTCCGCCATTTGTTTGACTATTGGGATGCCCAGGAAAGCCCTATTGGTCAAGATGTTTGCGATGCCGTGATTGGTTCATATTGGCAGATGTGCCAGAGCACGGGTTATTATTGGGCGACTCGCTCGGCCGGACCAGTATTATATCTAGTTAGAGGCGAAGTAACCACGCCCTTGCCACAGTAAACTAGACTTTCATTGATTTGATCGACAGTTGAAGATTCCAGCCGTAAACATACTACTATCAGTCTGCATAAATCCGAAATGGATTGACGAACATATGGTCCAACCAGCATTCTGTTATTGATACACTACCTGAGCCGGAAGTTTGCTCGGATATGGCACTGGATGGAATTTAGTAATTCGAAAATAACACGCCTAAAAGATTCAAGTCAGAGAATAGCATACGAAACCCGGATTACATTAGCTTGCGAAAAACCAAGGGAAACGAATTTAGCATTGAATAACCCTCCAGTGAAGAACCACATTCTGCTTCCTCAGAAAGGTAACACAGTTCAAACCTGAGATGACCGTAGAACAGTACAATATTTCACAAGCGTCCCCGTTTCGAAACAGCTATTTCATGGACTGAAACATTTCACAACAGCTGGCAGATGGCGTTTCTCTGTTTTCACCTTTGGAAACGACAAAAACTCCTTGTGACATCAACACGACCAGACTGACGTTCTACGTAGTGAAAAAGAATCGTTCAGCTATAGCACCGCTTTAGTGCCTAACTGCCATGCCACCCGAAGGTAGCACGAGGGCTGGGACACTGCCAGATTGCCCAAGCCTAGACAGGGAGAGGGATAGATCGGGTTCGAACCACGGACATTCCTGTGAGGAAATTCACGCACTAATCACTTGGGCTATCTCGCGCCTACGTAGTGATGCTGTATCCGTAGCACTCAAAAGCTGCCACGTCTTGAGCCGCCTCAGACAGATCCAATTTCTCATAAGTATTTTCATCCTCAATAGACTGTAGGCCTCTATCTAAAATACTTTACTTAATTTCCACTACTACATCTATTTCATCTTTGGTATGTCCACATCCAGGGACGTATGTCTTATAAGTTCGTCAGTCACGTTTCTGTAGTCACAGAGATCCCGATCGGAATTGGAGAAACAGCAAGCAGTGAGGTACCTTGTTTGGGCAAATGTGGATCAGTGCTCGTGTCAGTGTAGTCAAGCGTGTGAAATACAGTCTTAGCTTCAGCTACCTCGAAGACTTATATCCTTCCCACACTACTCATCTTCGTCATCTGCTCTCCGAATGGTTAATGTTGACCTATAGTGTATATCGTTCGTTCAGTTGTAGCACCCATCCAGTGCCTAGCTACTATGCCACCAGAAAGAAGCACGAGGGCTGGGATACTGCCATGTTGCCCAAGCCTAGACAGGGGAAGTCAAGAGGTAGAGGTAGGTTTCGAACCACGGACCTTCCAGTCAGTAGATTCGCGCCATGACCACTGGGCCATCTCACCTATGAGGTGCATATGAATTCGGCTTCATCACGAATCTCGTTTGTTTACAAAATCAGGTAAAATATCTAAAATCACCAGTACTTGTGGATTGTGAGTACATGTGTACTCCTCCACTGATGTGAGTCGACCATCCTTTCTATTTGGATCAGCAACGTTGACCACTGAGAGAATAAGGACGTGGTTCACAAAGGCTCCAACAAAATGTGAAAATCGAGCGAGCCGACTAGTCGGAAAGGTGACAAAAAATTGACAAAAGTCCCTAACTTTTGTGTGGTCGGTGAAAATGGACAACAAGATCAAAGAGATAAGTGTTTTCACATAACACAGCTACCGACAGGCTGACGCTTGCACGGTATGCGAGGTGCTAACCTGATTCGATTTCTCAAGGAAGAAATGAGAGTGTAAAAACCTGGTGACACAACCACAGTGCACTGTATGAAGTGTATGACAGACATACTGCTAACGATTCCAACGAATGACCAAAACAGCTGTGTCTATGCGGATTTCAGCACAGATGGCCTTCACATGACGGATGGAACTTCAATGAAAACTGTCAAATCTCTTCTTGTCCATAAATCGCATTTTCACATGCAGTGATACTATCAGGAAGGTCAGATCCTCAGAACGCCCGTAACCTACTGCTCCACCAAAATCTCAACAGAAAAGCCGGCAAGCATCCAGGCCAGTCAATCATTCAATCAATTCAGCAAAAGCCGATGAGTGTTCTTGCACGCCACAAAAGCACAACCGAATGTGATCAGCGTTCAGGCGTTTCGCAAAGGCACGATCGATGTTGATGGGTGTTCACTAACGCCTAGCAGACATCCTGGATCAATGTCAGAAAGTCACCTTTAAATAGCGTGGGGCCGTTGTGAATTTTGCTCTCCCACTCGTTTGTTCAGAATATAGTTGTTGTGCTCCCTTCTGTGAGTCTTTCTTCAGTCACTGGAGCGGGTCAGCAGCAGATACCACAGATTGGCCAATCAGCAGATACGATAGATATATACCAGAAAAAGCTTCACAGCAAGTTTGCTCAAATGCCACTGGTCGACTGACAAAATAGACGGTCACATCGCCTACGTTTGACCCGCGACAATACCCGCCGAAACAGTACATTTTTCTAGTAGCGAAATGGTGAATACTGAAGTTCCGGAATGAAGTGATCGTTGTAGACAAAGTACAAACTAACAGGACGGGTGTGATGTGGATCATTTCAGTTGTTTGGGACAACTCATTAGTCTACAGCGACCGATCACAGAACGGGCTCACATATACCTCTCAGCAACAGCTAAGAACTGAAGAATAGCAACGGGTGTTGCACTATGGCTTTTGGAATGTGCGGATAAATTTGGAGTTGCTGTTGACGGGTTTTACATTGACGAACTAAAGAGAGCAAGAAACTATGTGATTGGTGTTTTAATTCAGAGTCGAATGAGCGATCGTCAATATACACTAGTACCACACAAAAACCTCGAGATTGGTTTTTATCGCATAATGCCTCGAGTCGAATGGAGACGTCGGTATGACACCAGACAGATTAGGAGAAAACCTGTGATTAGGCCTACAAATCATAACTATCAACGCCGATCCAATTAATAAAATACCGCAATGCTGGGAAGAACTGGGAAAACCAGGTATAATCGATTTATGGGAAGTAGGAAACTTCAGGGGAACAAAATGCGTTCAAAATGCGTAGCAAAACGGAGTGGGGTTGATCGAGATACATGTGTAACTGGTTTACAAAATTGCACAATTATCAAAAAGTTCTCAAAATCTGTATTACCGTGGTTCAATTGGAGAGACTTATCTCAGGGTGGAAAGCGAAAAAGACAGTGCAAACTAGCACAAAAGCGAGGTATTTACATGAAGGCTCATCCGACGACGGGCTTGTGCAATGTAACACATGTCATACTCATGTCATACTCATTGCGATGAGACGATAGTCGGTGTATAAGACGAACTGACTAGATATGACTGCCGCCACTTCTTGACGAATGATCACCTGGTCCGTTTGGTTCGTCGCCTGCGCGGGGAACGAAGAGGAAACCGGTCAATATGGAGAAATAAGCCTAGTTCAAAACAATGTCATCCCAGCTAACTTGATTACAAGACAACATTCATTCTGCTTATAGCTTCCATGGAACTTAGGATAGACACTAGAGAAGGCAGATGAGAAAAGTCAGCGCCGATCTCTCAATTAGCAGCTCCTGGCGTGACCCCTGAGCTGACTCGCCTACAAATGCTGACGTTCATTGATGAGTAAGAAGTCCACCAAAGACAGCCAGATAGAATACGTTCCTCTAGACTGTCGGTGCGGCGGGTTCATATTTCAACTGTACAGAGGCTACCAGCCAGATCTTTCAAAATGAATCGACAAATCAGTGTCACAGCTACACACACGCATGATGCTTACAGCAATATATGAAACTGACAAACATAATGACAAATAAGTAAAAACAGATCATACCAAGGTCTGCTGTTCAATTCCGATGGAGATTGTGAGTCTTCGCCCCAATCACTGGATCCAATGATTGACATGGTACCGATAGATTTCGATTTGGCATTGAGGTTTTCCGGTAAACCAGTTGAAGAGGCGTTTTTACTTAGATGTATCAGATCTCCATTTGAAGCACTGGACGGTGGAGAAGCCTCACCGGCAGACTGACGCGTGGGAAGACGAGCAAGTATATGTGCTACTACAGAGTCAGGGTCCGGACGACGTATTCCACCAACCATCACACATTGTCCAGAAACATGCAACGCTTCATGTCTTGTCCATAGCTGGTAGGTGACAGCAGACGGGTATTTTTTACCGGCAGCCTGATTGGTCTTGGCTACAGTGGAAGGAACTAACAGGTTTACTCTGATAGCGAATTCAGCGGCGCGGTTCTCAGCAGCCCGTATGACATCCTATTCGAAAAGAGGAACATGGAAATATTTGTGCTACTAACGTAGTTGACAGTAACTAGAACAAAGTCGTATAGTGCTTATTGAGATCAGCAACCGAAACTCCCCAGACGCCAGTCCCTGGGTTGGCGGACCGGAGAGCGTGAACAGTGTACTTTGCCCCCGATCAACCAACTACTACGCTGTTCACAGGCTTAGTCCGAACTATTTGAATTCACTAAATAGAAGGTCAACGATATGGGACCTGATAAAACCCAGTCGTTTCGCATTAGTTGACTCTGAGGAGATACACGGAACCCCAGAATGTGCAAAAGTTACCGGGTATTGTTAAACGTTTAGCTGAATAACACACAACCCCTTGAAAAATCAATCTGAGCGTGATTCATGACACAACCCTAAATGCACATTAGCTGCTAACAGTTGCAGTAATTCTGAAGGGCACTATTTATTTCAGGGGGGGGGGGATTTGAAAAATCAATCTGAGCGTGATTCATGACACAACCCTAAATGCACATTAGCTGCTAACAGTTGCAGTAATTCTGAAGGGCACTATTTATTTCAGGGGGGGGGTATTTTAATTCTAACGAGCCAAGTACATATTCAGATTGCGCAGTGAGTAATAGGAGAATCAATGACGTACGGAATCCGCACTGGTTAAAATCTCACACGGCAAACCGGAGCTCCATAGCTTCTTTGCCAAGTTATATACGAGTCGCAATCCGTCTTCTGTTTGGACCAACGATTCGAGAGGTAAACCGATGCCAACGGTCGAGACGGAGCCAGCGGAGGGCGCCATGCTGGTGCTGGACTGGCTACCGGTGATTAAATTAGTGTGATCGTAAGTGGACTGAGTATTTCCATGAGTTCCAACTTGAGATGAGTCAGTCCCGGAGCGTTGTGGGCCGCTTGTAGTGCGACGGGCGGATACGGATGGTAAATGTTTAAATGGGTTGCTGTACAGTTCCTGAACATTATCTGTTTCGCGCACACCCCAACTGAGAAGAATCTGGCACATATGTGGATCAGGCGGGGGTGTCTGGAGGAAACAAAAAAAGCACAATTGAAGTCGATACTAGTGATACTAGCGATAACCTCATTAAAAAAAATTAGAAAAGGAAACCAGGAGGATAGCACAATGATAAAATCTGAAAAGGTGTGAAGCTGGGAATAGTTCCCTAAGTCAGCAGAACAGAGCAACGGATAGTGCTGGAAAGTGGTCTGTTTGCTCGCAATCGATTGAACGAAACCATCAAACACAATGAATCCGCCACATGAAATGACGTGTGTGTGAACGAAAAAACGCTCAATGGACACCAGAAATGTAGGCTTAGTTTCGGTCAAAACACGGGCGAGAATGACAATAGGCGTCCGGCTGAGCACGCTTGCCATGCAGTCCCAAAGAACCACGAGGGCTGAGATACCGCCGGATGGCCCGAGCCTATAAAAGCGACACCCAAAACCAGGAATCAAACGTGATCAATGGACCATTCGATTAGCAGTTTTGCGCCTTAGCAACTCAGCTATCTCGACCTCAGTATAGTAAGCTGAGTCTGGGGTAAATGAAGGCAGAAACCAGACAAATTAATTCATTCAGGAGGTTACACAAACACCGGTATGAGTAGTTGGTGATGTTGTAGGACACTGGTAACTCGAGTGGAATCGGCCGTTGTTGGGTCGTTCGTTGAGCCTGGCAATCGATGTACCAGTATTCGAGATATCATTAGTGTGCTGTTGACCAGTCTATCGGCACACTAAACTCTCCCTAAATGGCTACGAAACGTTTGTTAATCGACTGCAAAGCTCAGCAAATGAGTCAAGAGATAGCGGTTTAGTCTGGTCAAAAACCATTTCAGTAGTGCAATGGGATAAAGAGCAATATTGCGACGCACAACTCACCAAACTGGCCAGAAGGGAGGTCAAGTTAGCAGACAAAGTGAACTGTAGCCAAACAAGGCGTTCGGTGTAGAACGTGAGTCCAATCACGTGGGGACATTCAGCAAGACTCAAGCTGTGGATGGTCGGCTGGGGAAGTGGTGTTGGTGCTGGCGTTTCGTTTGCAAAAAGTCTAGAGGATTGAATAAGGGCGATAGAAAAGTTCGAAGGCTGAAACTCAGATTAACGGTTACGTCTCTAATTAAGAATACAACGATAAATATTACAACTCTTGAGAGACAAACTGCTGTCAATTCAAGGCAACAGGCTTCGGATCTACCCATAAACCACACTGCCTTTTTGGCACTCAGTTGGGTGGGCTCGAGATGGCTCGGTAGTTGGGAAGCGAACTTACTGACCGGAAGATTCGTGTTTCGAATCCAACCCCAGCATCTCCACCGCTCCTGTCTAGAGTCGGCCAACCTGGCAGTATTTCAGTCACGCTGCTACCTTCGGGTGGTATGGCGACTATGAACCACCAGCCTAGTACAGCTGAATGATTCCGGATATGTTGACTCCACTGGGATCTATTCAGCTACCGCGGTGGGTAAATTTACCAACCACAATACTTGATCAATGCGCAAACTTGAAGTCTGAGTGAGACTTCAAGTTTGCAGTAACGGCCTACACATTGCAATAGTGAATCGCATGCAGAACTTTGCAGTAGAATTATTTGGTAGTAGTAATAGCCATTCAGATGTGGTAGGTACCCTTTCGGCGCGGGATACTGCCAGATTGCCCAAGCCTAGACACAGGAAATCGAGAGGCAGAGGTCGGATTCGAACCACGGACCGTCCGGTCAGTATATTCGCGCTCTAAGCACTTGGACCATCTCGCCCCCAATAGAATTACTTACTGTATTTAAAATAGGCTCCATTCTCAAAAGAACGATATCATTCGCCTAGTCGACGCACGTGGACGAATGCCCTAGCGACACTCAAGCCCCTAAAATGTTAGGTTTAGGTGAATAAAAGTGGGACCGCATGCTGATGACGAAGTTGAAGAGGGATGGTAATGGGGAGTAGCCTTTTCGGGGAATGGTTCGCTAGTGGGTAGGTGTGTAATGTTACCTTTTGTCAATAGACAGTGTAGCGCGTAATACGAACAAAAAGAAGGTAATCCGTCTTGAATGAGATTCTACGGTGTTCTAGAATACAAGAGTCAAAGGCGCTTGTCACTGCGAACGATTACTTCCGCTGCGGGAAGGTCGTAGTGGGAATCCAGTTAGTGGGAGCTTGAAGAAAAGCGGCGGTTGAAGTAAACAGATCGCCGACCCTGATGAAAACAAGAGTTTGCCGTGAAAATCCATAATCATTTTAGTCGAATTCGAGAGTCCCTCAATGGTAGTCCTCACGGGTCCCACAAAAAGTTGGTGCCACTTGATGAGTTAACTTGAAATATGCTTACGCTCACCTGATATTGGCATAGCCCTTGGGGAGGCAGTGCTTTGCAACCAAATGACTGTATTCTCCACCCTGAGCTAACACCATCAGCATCCGATGCCCATCAACTGTGTTGCTCGAAGAGTCTTCAACCGAAATGGGATTCTTCGACCTACCCAACTTTGTGGGGCATTGGGTTAATAGTGGTTTTCTACTTCCGTCCTCCCCAGTTCCTGTCGGAAGCTGATTCAGTGAGAGCATGCGTTGAGTGGACGGGGATGAGTCGGCTTGTGATTGTACACAGTCTACCACCAACTGAAACACCAGTCCTTGGTAATAGTGACACGGAAGCACAAGGCCCGACGTGAACGATAGCTGCAAAAAAGAACACACGCAACAAGTTGAAGATCCTAAGTGCACCAAGATAAGGAAGTTGCACCCAGGAGAAACTCCATATGTTGAAGCCCTGTTCCTGATAGAACAAAAAGCATACCTGAAACGTGTCCTGCAGGCCAAATTTGTGACAGAGCAGTGAGATCTCCTCCAGCTGTTTGACAGCATCATCCACACGCCGGCGCACATGTGAACGAGGTTCCGGAGCAGACTGCAATATGACAGAGCGCAACTGCGTTGGATCTGTTGATTCAAAATGCAACAGTCGAAGAAACTGCCGCTGAAAATGCAAACGAGCCGAATCCCCAGTGAATAAAGCAGGGAGTGAGAGGCGCCGTGTCACAAGGTTTTCCACACCGATGTGATGCCCGTTCGCTGGAGCAGCAGTTGGACATGAGTTAGCCTCGGCCAGATGGTGCCATAAAGAGGCGCAGGAATCAGGAGGAACATCCAACTGCGCAAATATGGCTTCAATTAGATTCGTGTGACTGAGATACAGAATATAGCGAGCTGATTGCTGTAACAGAAAACAGTGTAGAACGTATCGACAAGAACTCGACACCAGCAGATTCATAACACGGAAGGAACTGACACTGTCTTCCACAACCGAGGAGCTGACCAGAGGAGACGGCCACACGCGGGCACAATCACTCCGGGCGAATAAAGTAATTTTCGATATGAGTTAAATCGATTGAATTAACCGGAGAAGTTGTTTCAACATGGGAGGAAGCGGACCGAATAACATGGAGCACCATCCATTAGCTTTAGCCACGAGTTTATTAACTTTTCGTTCCTTTCTCAATTGTTGTTGCTTAGCGATTTTTGCCTTCTTTTAGGAAGCACGACCGACAGACGCAGTTTTTCGCATCAGTCGATAGGTGCCAGACCCTGATATAAATAAATATATAAAAAAACTGCTCAGCTGTAGCACCCTTTCGGTGCCTAGCTGCCATGCTATTTGAAGGAAGCACGAGGGCTGGGATACTGTCAGGTTGTCCACGCCTAGACAGGGGGGTCGAGAGGCAGAGGTCGGGTTCAAACCACGGACCTTCCGGTCAGTAAATCCGCGCTCTAGCCACTTTAGCCATCTCGCCTTCCAGGATGGGGTCCCCGCCTGTGCTTGGTTGGAGACGTAAGAAATGGCGGTTAATCGGGACACACTTTCTAATAGCATTGCCAGCTTAATTTAATGACAGGTGTGTTCACAGGTTAGTCAGCCTACCTATGACTATAGTTAGCTTCATATTAAATGGCACATTCAGTTGGCTTGTCGTTATTAAACCTGAGGAAAAAAGTGAATTACTGTGCCTATGGATTGGATTAAAATTTGAAAACAATGAAGACAGCTCCCATGGTAGGACACATCATTAGTGGAAAGTGTCAAGCGATCAAGAATCTATTTGCAAGCTGAAGCAGAACACTGGAACTATCCAAGAGTTAGAGATTATGGCACTGAGCTCGCGAACTTACTGACCGAAAGGCCCATGGTTCGGACTCTACCTCTGCATCTCACATGCTTCAGTCTAGGTTTGGAAAACCTGGCAGTATGTTAACCCTTATCGTTCCTTCGGGTAGCGTGGCAGCTAGGCAGAAATGGGTGTTACAGCTGAATCGTTTTCTCTGTTGTATTGATCATGAGTTTACTCTCCGGTTGGAAGTAGACGCGGGGACACACACAAACACATTAGACTCTACAAACAGGTCAATAAACCTACCTGTAATTTGCCTCGCTGTAAAACTGCCTCACGTAGTACAGCAAACATCGTGGAAGTAGGGGACACACACAAACACATTAGACTCTACAAACAGGTCAATAAACCTACCTGTAATTTGCCTCGCTGTAAAACTGCCTCACGTAGTACAGCAAACATCTCGATGACGGCATGAGGACTAGGGGTGGAAAATGAAGATAGAGTACTTAGACTGGCAGAAGGAAGTTAAATGAAACCCAGTCTGGCAGAAAATAGTGGTAACGTGTCGGGAAAACAGATATACACAACCTAGAAGCCAAAGGTTAAACCGATGAAGTATTACCGAGGTATGGCATGTAGTGCTTTTAGTTGACACTCGAAATTCACGGATATATAGTGTCGCTAAGTTCCGACTCGGAAACCAACCTGAACGAGGGAGTGACGATATCGAACACAGCCTGATCCATCTCCGTGGAAAGGCTCCATGCCAGATCAGCTGATGAAGGGGCATGATGAGGCGTGGTTGTGGTAGTATAGACTTTTCCAAACTGGTAATGTTTCAAATAGAAATGTTCTACGTCACGAATCAGGGTGGAGCCAGATCTGGCGAGAAAACGAGCAAAAGGCAGATGCAAAGACTCCGGAAGGCACATTTGAGTTCCGTAACTGTCCAACAGCACCGGACTAGCGGGTGGCGCCGTATTGCGTGTCTTCAAAATGGCTTGTTCGACCGACTGACCACTGTCCTGGGTAGTATATCGAATTAAACGACGAGGAAGGACAGCCGCGCTGACAGGAACTAGTAGGGGAGGTTGCAGGTAGACGCCGTTGTGAATGAGGAAAATTGACTCCAACTTCTGGACGATATGTCTAATGAAACCAGAATGTAAGGGAAGTATAAGGGAGACAGGAAAAAAGCAGATGTAGCAAAAATCCACAAACAATAGTAACAAACATCGCAGTCCCCATATGAGAGCCGTACGAAAAGTGGTGAACTCCGGTGTTTGGGTTCATCCTGACCTTTTTATGGCGCTTTACTAAACATATAGATCGTTTAAAATGTCATTTTTGTTAGTTTGGGTTTCGAGTCAACGAACAGCTAATCTGGAACATGGATCACGCTTCCGAAGACTATAAGGGGTTAAACTGTGCGTACCAGTCAACAGTTGCCTAACTCTTGGGGAGAATCACCACCATAGAACAGGTAAATGATTCGCAGAGGATGACAACAACGATGACGGAGGTTAGTGGGGGATGATGGCAGTGCTGGCTCGAATCATGCACAGCTGGTGAACGGGATGATGAAGCCGATTTGATGGAGAGTTACTCAAAGAGACAGAGAAGACGTGTACTGGAAGAAATTTCATTGAAACTATCTTAATTTTCCGAATATTTTGGTTTCGTCCAAACAGTAGGCTGAGAAACTCGGAAGCCAGATTGGTCAACCACTAGAAAATCTGGTAGCTGCCCACCACTCAAGGATAGCACCAGTTCAATATATACCCGAAATTGACTGATCGTCTTAGGAGATAGTCGCTTCGATGTGATGTTCTCACTTCACGCCTGAAGGGAGTAGAACTTGTCCATAAAGTAGCATTCAAAATGGACTACTGGTGAAGAAATTCCTCAATGCATTTTTTGAATAAACATACGGAATCGGGACATCTACTTCGAATCATTAAAACTATGAACTGTACCTTCCTATTAATTGCTCAATGTAGGAATAACTAACCGCACGAAGAATGCCCTCTTGGTACTACAATATCCTGTTGATCAGGTTCCCAAACAGCCACAATGGGCTAAGATGCAAGCCGTGAGTCAGCCTATCAAAAATATATTACCAAAAAGTAGCCATCAGTTTGTGAAACGAGCCAGATTTATCCAGCCGACGTATTCAGGAGAGCCCAGTTGAGTGACGCGCAAAATCACAAGCCAGAAATTGTGTATTCCTGAAGTTTATCAAAAGATGCGGTACTACATGCATTAAATACGTAATAAAAGGAGTACAAACTTCAAATTATGGCGGTTTCCGTCTAAACTGTTGCACGAAGTAGTGCAAGACCAAAGAAAGCCCGCTTCATTAACCGGCGTGGTTCACCGAAGAAAAGGCTCAGTGACAGAGGAAGTAACTGTGTTGGAGCCGAACTAGAACTTCGGCAGTGTCTGAAATCGCTAGACTGCGATCCCGTTAATGAGAGAATGATAGCCCACGGGATTGAGTGGCACTTCAACCCCCTATATAGCAGGCACCGCGGAGGACAATGGGAGCGCCAGATACCATCTATCCGCCGAGTACTGAGTGTGGTCTCCCGCGAACAGGTGTTGACCGACGAATCTTTATCTGCCCTCCTAACGGAGGTGGAGCGTATTTTAAATAACCATCCACTTGTACCTGTCTACGGTGATCCAGACTCGGACGTGCTTACTCCAAGTCACTTGTTATTGTTGCGGGGACAGATCGAATTGTCAGATGATATGATCAGTATACGCGACACATATACCCGGTGTGTGAGGCAGGGGCAAGTGTTGGCGAATACCTTTTGGCACCACATGTTGTACCGAGGCGTGCGTCGCAAACTAAGACCGATTTGCCATCTTCTCCGGGCTTTCTTTGGTCTTGCACTACTTCGTGCAACAGTTTAGACGGAAACCGCCATAATTTGAAGTTTGTACTCCTTTTATTACGTATTTTATACATGTAGTACCGCATCTTTTGATAAACTTCAAGAATCCACAATTTCTGGCTTGTAATTTTGCGCGTCACTCAACTGGGCTCTCCTGAATACATCGAAGTATTCTACAGGTTGGTGGTTATACAGGAGAACATTAAGTTGGCCAGAGTGTTGACGTCTACCACAGCTGCTTGTGACATTCTCAAAATCAACCAGATGGTTCCTCCGGCTGCTTAATTCAGAGTACAAACAGCTGACTAGAATTTCTCAGATGCCACCCATGGGCCCAAGTTGAGTGAGAGGACATCTCTCATAGTATGGCATTCACGTGAGAAGTTGGCTCGAAAATGATATTGGTGTTTCAATTTATAGGGAGTCTAACTCAAGACTCGATTGTTCAGCTGTAAGATTCACCCGAAGGAGGCACGAGAGCTCAGGTACTGTCAGGTTGCCCAAGCTTAGAAAAGAATAGTCGAAACGTTGAGGTTGCATTTGAATCACGGATCTTTCGGTCAATGAATTCACGCCTTAACCGCCGAACTACGTAACTCATAACACGTTAAGCATCATAGCTCATGTGAAACAAGATGCAATCGGGGTTCCGAAATATAGGTAATTCGAGGCTCTTGCCTGTTGTAACTATGTTCGACGAGATTGGCTACAAACCTTTCGTTCGAAGTCGGGAAGACGTCATCCGCAAACGATTAAGGTCTCGTCCTAAACTTGTGTTTATACGGTATTTAGAGAATAGCTAGCACAATACAGACATTGGTTTGATGCAAGGGAGAGGCCTTCGCATAACTTGAATGCTCTTTGAATACCTACCTCTGTTTCAGCGTTTCTGTCTTCTGTTCTGATCGGTCTCCACTGTGTTTTGTTTTCCTTCTTGTGGATTGGTGAGCTGAGTAATCTTTTATTTTTAGCCAGTATTGCGTATATTACGTTCCCATGTTGCGAAAGTCAGGAAGAAAGGATCGATTTTAATAGCGATTCACCTAGTATACCTAATGATCCATCAGTTCTGAGGCCAAAGACAAGTGGCCACACGCCATGCTCATCGTCAACGTTTGTGAATTATAACCGGAAAGAAGTCGTTGCGTTTTAGTTGGCACAAAAAAGACATCGTATACAACATTCGAGAGGTGCAACAGCGACGTGCTTTCCGATTGTTCATGGCAAACAAGCGACATATTTCTGGACACTCGTCGGATCGCTTAAATGATAATTCCCACCCACAAGGCTCTCGTACGTAGAGTATGCCGGGACATCGGACCAGTCACTTCACTGCCAAACAAACACGGACATGATAGCCTGTTCCTTTGGGATAATAAAGCGATAATAATCGTTCAGCTGTAGCACCACTTCGGTGCCTAGCTGGCACGCTACTCGAAGGAAGCATGAGGGCTCAGATACTTTAGAGTTGCCCACACATAGACGGTGTAGTGGACATGCCGAGGTTGCATTCCAAACATGAACGTTCTGGTTAGTACGTTCGCGCCCTAACCATTGAGTTACCTCAAGCTCGCGATAATTCAGATGGGCCCAGTGGTGCGCATATTCTTGTTGGAGGACCACCGAGAGGAAAAAGATTGTTCACCCAAGAAAGAGGTTGTGCGGTCAATGTCCACTGGCAGAAATGATGGCTAAGCGATTGTGGACTGCGATAGCCCAAATGATCAAGCAAACACTAAAGGGGTGCTTGTCAGTCCTCTGAAGCTGAGCTGGTTAACAAAAACGGGGGAGCTTAGTAGATCAGTCAGCCGCTTATCAAAAATCCTGAATGTTTTGAAACAGCGGTAGCATACTGTCAAAATCGACAGGGTATTTATTTATATATACAGCAGCCACGCAGTTTAATCGTGAAGCAGTATCAGGTGCACTGCATAGCAGTAAAACCAATATAACAACCTAACGGGAGTTGGACAGATTAACAGTAACCCTAAACTTCCGATCAGAAGTCATTGCTTACCTATGAACCCTCTGACAAACCGACACCAGTTGATGATCAGTCAACGACTCCCTTAGTCCAATCCAATAGTTTTGAAATTCCGATCCCACAGTAGATTCCTGAGCGTACAAATTAGCCAGTGGATAGTCCAGTCTCATTTGCTGGTCATAGAGCATATCCTATGGAGTGGGAAGACGAGGAGCGACAATGAACACACAGGTCATGGATAAAAACGAGAAAACAGCGCACTTAGAAGACGACTTACTGATGTGCGAGAACAGGACTGAGAGAAAAGAGTGTGCATTATGAACCGATACAATTTCCCATCTGGTTCTTTGCATGCTTCAACAAGCTGTTTGCGGAACGCGGCCTCCGTGGATTTCAACGGGGGAACGTAGGGAGAAGCCAGAAGGTCCTGTAGAAACAATGGGACGAAAAACAGTGATTAGATATTGGAAAGGATTCCTTCTTCCATTCGTCCGTTCTGAGTCAATCGCTCGCATTATGATCTTGCGAACCCTTCCGGAGGGCCTCTCTTTGAAGGGAATACTGTATGGCAAAAAATGCCAGATGCCAAGAGAGTCGAAAAGTATTCGAAGTTTCCAGAACCATTGTGGAGCAAAGAGCAACGTCTCTGATTGGTCGATTAAACAACTCGGATATTAACAGGAGCCTACCCTTACTGTGGGACAGGTGATAAGCATCATCATAATCATGGACTGCATATCATCAGTGTTCAACACTGGTGCTTCGCTGCCGTACAACCATAATTGGGAGAGATAGTGTAAAAGCCTATCGCAAAAGCGTGAGTCTGAGAGTAATAGTCACCTGTGGAACCGACTCATCCCGACAGTGAAATCCCTACCCAACGGATGAGAACCTCGTGCACCCCTTCTGAGCATAGTGTTATCGGAAACCAATCATGTTTACCCTGAACGCCCTCGTAATAGATTGAAGAGGGTGTATTTTATAGATAATCCGAAAAGTAAACCAGATAAAGTCAAGCGGAGGGCTACCAAACATATGAACTCGTTCACCCAGTGGTGTTTTGACGATAAAGTACAAGGTAAAACACTACCGCTGACTGGAGTTGTATACATAATGGCAAGGTCCAAGCTGTCGGTCGAAGATAAAAGGAATTAACACAAAAGCCTCGGTGGGTATACCACGGAACGAAAAACACTTCACTAACGCGGAAGGCTGACGTACCGAAGCACTGATTCGACGATCCGGGTCATGTTGTAACATCATTCGAATAAGACGAGTTTGGTTGGACAAACGTTTGGAGCTCCAGTCCATCGGGAAGATGATGTGTTCGCTGCGCAGTGCGGTCAACACTTCGACACGCTCATGTACGCTAGGCATGGCTCGGTAGAACATTTCGAACAGAATCACACCAAGACTGTAGATATCGACACGCTGGAAATTAAAGCGGAAACCGTCTACGAATGCATTCAACAGTGCCACAAAGTCAAATCAATGTTAACATTGTAGTTCTGCTCGCTCGCGGAAGAAACATAAAGTTGGCGGAAAAATTACAAAATCGGAGGGGTTCTGATACGACGGTCTAATTTGGCCCGGATTCCATGCGGTAAAATGCTAACCCGATAGGTGAATTTGTGGTCATCTGTTTTCCGGTCTGCACCTGGTTCTACAACTCTGCCGATAAAGTGTATTTGACAAGGATGGGCCGAACGCGAAACCTCCCACAGATAAAGCAAAAATAATGATTTTTCATATGGCAAACTGCTCATAAGGTTGCTGAAAACTCTTCAACAGCCCACGACCGGTTTCGCCCTTCTCAAGGCTCAGCAGGTAGGCGCAGTCCCCGAGTTTCCATCAACCTCATATTCTACTTGAACCCAAATTGGACTGTTTTCGAGAAATACACTCATTTGCAAGCAAAGTTGGTTTTTCGAGAGGCTCAACTGAATCTCTCGTTTATGATATTCTACAACTTAATGTGCTGCACACAGGCCGCCTCATGTTTCAGTTGGCACGATATTCATTGAGATAAATTAAATTTGGGCAGCCACTGACATCACCTGCTTTATTCCAGTTCACGAAAACTCATGGCGAGTTTGCGCTAAATCTTAACTGACGTTAAGGTACAAGGACAAAAACCTAATAATCGATGCGGTGTTGTCATGGAAACAACGCGAACAACTAGCGCGACCGGTGCACAGCTACAAACAGTCAACCTAGTGAGCCCCAACTTGTCAATTTGTGTAAACGTACACATCGAAAACACCGATTGAGAGAGCACTCAAATTTCACTTTCATGCATACCTCATCGTAAAAAAGACGAGCTCGGTGACTGTTCAGTATCTCTGGGCTCATGTACAAATAGGTGCCCACGTCTCGTGTCATTGAACGTCCAAGTAAAGTTGGATTTAGCTGTTCAGTCGGAGTGTCCGTCGATGTTTCGGTGTGCCCGGATCCGGTGGGTTTACAATCCATATTGCTTGAACTGAGCGGAGTGGTGCCAACAAACTCTGTACCGGACGGCAGACCCTGAAATCAAAGAACAGGTGCAAAGAAACACTCAGTTGCAGATCAGGATTGTGTTAACGGGAAGCTCAGCTTAATCTCCGATTTAAACATGCTGTTCTGGTCGTTAATACTGTCATTCAAGCTGAATAAAACAAGATTCAGTGAAGGGCGTGAAGGGCGGGCGTTTGGAATAACCCATGCTTACAGATGTAGCAGCTGAAACCAAAGTACTCTCAATAAATGGTGTGCAGCCGAGAATCTGACAGGCTGACTGATGGTAGCGTTAATCAACATAATTCGAACAAGACCCCTATGGATAACGTACAGATCGGCTAGTTAACGACGTGTTGCCCGAACTACCTCAATAGGTTACCCACCAACAAATAGGATTACTGCTCCAGCTACCGTTCACCAATTCAAACACCTTCCCGCTAAAGAACAACATGTCAATGTAAGGTGAGGATCAGGTAAAAGGACACACGGTGAACGATACTAAGAGGATAAACAATCAACGATGCAAGAGCTCAAGGCGATAGACAATGTGTAACTTGATCACCTGTGAATTCAGTGTGCAGTTGACCCTACAGAGCAAATTAACGGATTTTTGTTCAACTCCAAACTCGCTGTTGTATTGTTGAATCCTTGCACCCAATCAATATGTGCGTTCACCCATTCCAGATTTTCTCACGGTATACATTCGTTCACACCCATCCCTGGTCTCCTAAATCCTCAGTGTCCGGATTTTGTCAGTATAACCCGTAGTGGCCGCTGTTATTACCATGCATTATAGCTTCGTAGTTAGTTTCTGACTATACGGGGACCATTGTGGTGTCTCGTTCCAAAGCACCATACAGCCCACAAAAGAAGGCTGTGCCAAGTAACCACTGACATACACACAAAAACTGGTCGCATACCCGATACACTGAAGTGACGGCAGTACGCATTCGACGACTGCATTGAACGCCGACCCTGTGAACATTGCTGAATCACACTCTCCACGTATAGTTGCATTCACTCTCATCAAACACTACATGTCTCCTTCTTCGTTCACCATTCCAACCCTTTTCGGCCGCTCTTCATCGAGTTAGGTTTCGACTTATAATCCCCCAATTGTCATTTCATTCGTTCATTATTTTATGATAGTCTGCTTGGTCATTTACTGACTGGCCAGTTGCGACGCCAGACTCCAGAAAAGCGCGATTTTCGTTCCTCCGCTCCCGTCTGAACTGCACCCAAACTACCAATAGTACAGACTCTGCGACAGAATATCGCTGTCATGTTTGGGATGTGCAAGCAACTGGGAAGCTTTTACTTCCGACAATATTCATCGGGAAACTGAACATCACATTAACGCCTGTAGTTTGACAGACCGATTTCGGCTGCTTCTTCACTAGCAGGACGTAGCACCGCCTCCTTGAACTTGTCACTTCTCATGAACCTCATGAGTGATTCGCTCGTGCCACTCGTCTCTTCACTTCCAGCCGCCCTATTACGCGGAAAAACACCGTCGCCCCCTCAGCTTTATTTTCATCAGAGCGACCTTCGTAGTGCCAGTATTTTATAACCGTCCTCTGTTCACATCCAGCCATCTACTCCTGTTTTACTCCGTCTAGGTGTATTGACATGGCTTTGTGTGCTGTTGCCATACGTTTACAATTTTTACGCAGGTTTCCCATTGTGAGTTCCCCCTTCCCCTGTCATTTACTACTTACGAGTAGAGACATTCAACCGACTACTTCAGTCACGAATTCAGGCGACCATAACATACCAGACAATTATGCTTCTCGAAGAAAAACCAAGCGATAAGTTCACTTAGTTCAGCCGCTCACTTCAATTCGGGTTACTGTGTGCACCCTCGTCGAGCATCCTAACTACCTTCTTCTACTCAAAATCATTCGACGACGAAACAAGCAACCGAAAAGTAGACATGTGAGTTGTTCAGGATGGAGACGACATTCATTATCGTAAAAACAAGTGTGCGAGTTGAATTCGTATACCACTAGCCCTGTTGCTACACCTAGTTGAAGAGCCTAAACAAACGCCCACACTCTCGGACGTTTCGTTTCAAAGCTCTTTAGCTCACATGTCCCCTGAAGCATTCGTATGAGTCGGACGACCACACGAGATAGCTAGTTCACAGCTAGCAAGAGTGCACCTAACATCGGCCGAAAAAGAGTCTATATTTCATCCAGCTCCGTTACCGGTTCAGATGGCTTGGTCACGAGGACCTTAGCATCTTGAACAGAAAACAGAGTGAATGAAGCCAGTTTAGTTTATAAGCGTACCATTCAACCGTTTGGTGGTAGCAAACTGAGAGGTAATCAACGGTCGGTCACGAGAAGTTATCATGTAGTGTTAAAGTATGTACCTAATGACCAAAGCAATCTACGAGATAAACGATCCTGAACAGTGTTGTAAGTGTGATGCGGGACACTGCGAAATGTTCACACGACACATCCAGGCGAGTAAAAGACTACCGAACAAATAAGACACACTAGATAGTCACCTACTAATAGATTTTAAGTGTGTTCAACTGTTCATTGTAATTTTTCGCTTATTGAACACAATCGATGTTTAAGTGAGTTCGCTTTCTGTCCACAAACCTGAGGCTTTCCACTTCCCAAGCAATAGTCAAGAAATAATGGAAACGCTTACCGCCTCATGTTCAATCCGGTCGGTAACAGATCGTGTGGCCAAACCAAAGTCCACAATCTTCACGTGATCACTTGCATCTACCATAATGTTCGCCGGCTTCAGATCGCGGTGGATTACATTTTTCGAATGAATATAGGCCAGTCCGTCAGTCAATTCACGGAACAAACTCCAGGCTCGGTCGGGATTAGTCGAGAGGCCTTCACAGTCAATTACGTGACGTAGTGTTTTGGATGGACAAAGCTCCATCTGAATAATCATGTACTGGGTGGGTACAGAAAAAAGGATGGATTTAACTTAACAACTAGGTCTCAAATCTGCTTGCTCAGAGAATGCGGTAATTAAGCAAAAATGATATCGTTGAGTAAAACGAACATCAAATGAGCTTTCCTCCAAACATTATGAGTGGTTTGCTTTACTGGAGTATGCAGCAAAAAGAGCAAATTAGCCTTCGAGTTTTCTCGTTCTGCCGATATTATGCAGTTAGCGACGCCAAACTAGACCGAAATAAGGAACCACGGTAGGTCTAAGCGTTGACGAACTAAATTTGGTCGTCCTCACCGCAGAGGGTAGGTCTAGTGGTTTCTCTCAAGTAGTTTTTTCTTTGGAGGGGCTGTTGTATAGTTCGTGGTTCTAGAACGATTAGGTGGTAGCGACTAAAACTGTAGGCGAATTACTTGAAGGTGAGTGAGAGATGGGTGAGCTGTTCAAATGAGAGTTATCGACGGGATCAAAATCGTTTCACACTCGTTGGTCGGTGAGAAATATAATTAATCCAAATACACTCATTTGCAAATCAATTTGGTGCTCACGGGGGACTTAATTGAATCTCTCGTTTATGATATTCTACAGCCGGATGTGCTGTTACCCAGGCCGCTCATGTTTCAGTTGGTACGATATTCGAGACATTGTAGTACATTTTCATACAGGATACTATTCACAAGGTTGTCAGTTTTCAGCAACCCTGTGATTAGTCTCCTTCGTGAAGTAGTCCACTTAGGAAAGAACGAATCTTACAAGTCGCGTGAATGTTGTACACGAAAAGTCCCTATCTGAGAAGCCAACTAATAAGGAATCAAGCATGTACCACGCTACCTGACTGGAAAGTCCTGACTGGCTGGCGAATCGATCGTCATAACCAGGACAGTTAGTGGGTCGTCATTCGATGGGTCGGGCACACCAATCAAATAGCTCAAGTGTGAACACGTTCGCCTGTTCAGTCATGATAATTCAGATGCGTCCAACGTGCCTTGGTGGAATATTGGGGTCTGGGGTTCGAATTCCCGGCACCGGGATTGAATGTTCACTGCTGATGAGTTGTAATAAGGGCGAAACTCGAGCTCAGTGCTTCCCTTTGGTGTGGACTTATCGTAATAATTACGCGAGAACAGGAACACGACCGTTCAAAGGGAGTGGTGCGGCCATGAATATAGTTCTTTAGGAGTTACTTACCGTAGCGCGTCCCATCTCAGAGTTACGTGATTTTTTCCCAATGAGGAAAGATGGATTACGTTACGTTTGTGAAAACCCAATAATAGCCGAATATGCTAAGCACATTCTACATCGTTCAAACCAGAGTGGTGTGACTATGTACATAGCACGGAATCATGAGGGGAACTAAGCGTTTGAAAGATTAACGACGCTACGTCCCGTCTAAACGTGAGCTGAGCCATTCCTGACCGAAGGACCGCGGGTTCGAATATACTTAGCGATTTATACTAAGAGTATGGCTGGTGATTCACAAATCGGAGGAAACAGTTGCACAGTGCTCCTCTGCTTTCTAGTACCGATTGATTAACTATATGTGCCGGATGGAATCCCAATAGGAAACTCAACTTTGCGCCATGTGAAACGTAAAGGCACAGATGTGGAGAGTAAATGACAGGAATACTGACTGCAACGTGCAATTGTCTTCTCCCAATAGAACTTGAATAAACGGTTTCCTAGTGAACATCACTCTTGAGAAGGATATGGAAACAAGCAAAAGATGTTCAGTTTCAGGGTGTGGAAGGCGTCAGAATAGACTACAATCCTGTAACAAATCTCCGACATGTCCCAAGTGGTTAGAGCGCGAATTTCCTGACCGGAAGGTCCGTGATTTGAACCCGACCTCTGCATCTCGACTTTCCCTGTCTAGGCTTGGACAACCTGGCAGGATCTGAGCCCTCGTGCAACCTTCGGATGACATGGCAGTTAGGCACCGAAAAGTTACTACAGCTGAACGAACAAATCTCCGTTCCTATAACGATAACAGAACAGTTTCTTTGGGATAACCAAGCTGGCGATATTCAACCCATAATTATCCAGAAACCATACAAGCTGGACAACCACAGGGCAGGATGAATTTCGAGGATTTGAACCGTAAAATGCAGTGCTCAACTGGGAATGTCAAACTCACCCTTATATGACGTCGCGAGGGCTTTGATGCATCACCTCTACTCTGCTTTTCTGAAGAGGCACTTGAGTCCGAGCCTGTGGAGAGTTGATTGGGTGCCGCACCACTTTCTGGACGAAATGACCTAGAAGAAATCGGGAAAATAAAAACGGTGAAGCGGTAGCAAGCTAATTAATCAGTCAAATATTGTGGACGGGGAACTCAATGTCAGTCGGGCTAGACTTTAAGACCAGGAAGGCGAAAGCTGAACACTCGCCACTGTCTTGGAGCAACCAAGAAGAAATATGTTGTTCATGGATGTTAGGTGGATCGAAATAGCTGCCATTAGAAAACCACTCTGCAATTGACGTAGCACCGTCAACGACCGCACCAGAAGTCAGGTGAACATGCGATCCGGGCTCCTTCCCCAAATTAACACACGAAACACTTTCTAGGCGATAAACTCTGTCCAGGATGTGAGCACAGTTCACTTTCGCTGTTAATCCTTAGTAGAAATGCCCATGAGTTGTCATTATCCTCATCACAAAAACAATATCAGTATTCAACACCAGTTCTTCATTGTCGTATGTCTCTGCAATTATACAAATTGATGGATCACCTGTCAATATAGTACGAGAACCAGACGCATCTTTATCGTCCAGTGGCAGTACAAATGTAACTGGAGGCCTACGACGGGTCATGTTAGCTGAGATACACTACTCCATTAAGATGAACCTGCCAGCTACTGATAAATTCATCAGGCTAGCTAGTCGATAAATCAACGAAATTTATGGTTTGCCGAGGCCAGCAACTGCTAATAATCGAACATCATGTCGATTGGACGGCTGTGTCAAGTGCAGGCTGGGGGCTACACCAAGGTATGTCTCGATTGGTCAGAATCTCAGCCAATCTGGATTGAGCATCTATAGCTCGACGCTTGTCGCCCCCTCACGGGAATTCTAGCGCGACCTTGTCGAACTCTCTGTGAGTGCTCTATAGATACAGCTGTAATAACCTTCCTTTGTCTCCATAAAGCGCTTTCTCAAGTGACCGTGCCTTTTCATATACCATAATGAGCAGAGCAGGGAGCCAAAGCCTGATATAGAGGTTGCACCACCGTCAACGAGACACAACATAGTGCCCGTGCACTAACACAATAATCATATCACTGAGAACTCGAAGAATTCTGAGTGATCATGTGTTGTTGTATCCCTTCCCATTTCCCCGACTTCAGTACTTCCCTTAGTCCCTAAAATCCTACCACTTTGGACTTCCAATAAAGACACGCCAGGTTACACTTGGAAGAACTCGTTTCTACCCTAGGTTAGTTCAGGAAGGACACTATTTCCACATCAAAATACCAATATTTTCCATATCGCAATCCTAGATTGTCCCGACAAGAGTTGTGTGCAGTCGTTAAATGAAAGTAATCCGGTAGCAAATGCTATTGTCATCGTATACTTTCCCAGTGGGGAAGAAAAAAATTTTCGGGATTGCAGAGTGAATAGTCCCGGATAGGAATTGCGACGAGGAACATCATCGCTCAAGACACTTACACCTCGAAGATGGACGGTGGAGAGTTGCCGTTAAGGAACTCTGCATTTCTTCGGCAAAAAGAAAGGCGTGGTATTGCTACCTAGTGTATTTGACCAAACCATTTGGTGCACAGAATGCATTGATTTTGGGTCCACAGGTAACGCATCGTTAGAAACGGAACTTAAAAGACGTAAAATCAGCAAAGAGTGGAACATGATCGCAAAATCAAAGTAGGGATCTCCTCATGGTGCTGTCCCGTTGGGAGGGTTTGCATTTATCAATTCCGATCATTTAACCTTGGAGAGTCTAAAAGAATGTTTGGATGACATCTTGACCGACGATGGAGCAACCGTTAAATCGAATCTGGCATCGTAGACGTTTGCACCTGTATGCACCCGCGGTAGCAGGACTAATAACTGAGATACCCAATCAGATTGGGATAAGGATTGAAATTCAAACCGCTTAATAGCTTCACCAAACGGAACAGATGCGGTGGGCAACGTGGTCTGATGTTTGGTCTTTTTGGACTACCTCACCGCTCTGCATGCTTGTTGCGATAGCAATAGCCTGGAAAATCCGAACGCAGGCATTCCAGTTTTTGGAATTAGCAGTTTTCCACATTACATGGATGAAGGCATGCAAAAAACACTACCTAAGCGAAATAGATTGATTCGAAGCTCGCAATCAACCCAAAAGGATTTTCATCACCCAATCTGAGACTATCAGGAAAGGCAACCACTGAATGTCCGAAATCTACTGAGACCCTCAGCTCCGCTAGGTGCTGACCAGACAGGCAACGCTCCATCAATATGCAGCGCTTCACAGTCTTGTACCAAACCCAGACAGCGCGAGTCAGCGTTGATCAAGGTCAGACGACGCCCCGCAATGTGCAGCGCGTCGCAGCTTCGTACCAAAGCCAAACCGTGTGCGTCACCATTGGGCCAAGTTCAGACAATGTCCTTCCAATAAATAGCTTGAGACCGTCATAGTTTCGTATTCGCACGCACTCACGCTCTTGCACTCGCTTGTTCGGAATATAGCTGTTGTGTTCCCTTCTGTGAGTCTTTTTTCCGGCATTAGGCACTGGAGCGGGTCAGCAGCAGATTGGCGAATCAGTAGGTATAACAGAAACGATGCAGCTCCGATGCTGACACCGGGCTACAGAATATTCAGTTCAAAATAGGCGACTTTGAACCAAAGGTCAATAAAACAGCCACGTTTTTTCTTTTCCCTCTCTTCTCAAATTCGTGCAAGTTTCTGTGGCGTTCGGACACCCAGACTGGCACCAAGTACCATCCTGGTAGGCCTGACATGATTTCAGATGGGCTTTAATCAATCCCAATGGATGGTTAACCGACTGGTTACGTAAATCACTGCCTAGAAAGCCGATGTGAACTTTCCTATAGTGCTTACAGATGCACTCAAATCCGACAAGGCAGCTGCTCCAAAATGAGGAAACAGCATAATCGAAATACTCATTGGAAGAGATCTCGCTGTGAAATTACTGGGACTATTCTGGCGCAAACGTACTTTAGAGTGGCTTATCGCGGGTTATGTACACCATCCTTTGAACAGTCGGCCAACAAATGACCGCGATGTATCAACTGGGAGACCGAAAGATGATAACCACACGCCAAGATAATGATTTAGCTGTAACACCTTTTGCGTACCTAGCTTCCATGTCACCCGAAGGAAGCACGAGGACTGGGATAGTGCCAGGTTGCCCAAGACAGACAGGAGAAATCACGATGCAGAGGTCAAATCCAAACCACGCACCTTCCGGTCAGTAAATTCGCGCTCTAAACACTGAGCTATCTTCAGGCACTACTAACGGCCTATAAAATTTGTAAGCTTTAGTAACATATAATGCGTATAAGCTCAAACAAAACGAGAACTTCGGTGAGTTGAACAAACACTAAGGAACATGCCACCGAACTGCACAGTAGATTTACAGCCATCGGGTACATGTACCTTAAGATAACACAGAATCGAGCGGATTGTTGTTAGCTAACTGCAGAACAGGTAAAAGCAGTGTTCACATCACTCGCGTTTGGACAGCTTTCCATCTTCTGATTACTCCACCTCATAGATCCACGCAAAACGTGAGACGTTATTATGGACATCATCGGAAGTGCACATTCTTGACACCTCCAGGGTTCGAACTTTCAACAGAAGCAAAAGTGCTACCGCTGCTGTTGCTGCACTGAATGTACCTGAATTCCAAGATCCGTTCGGGGTCTGATTAAACTTGAGCGAAGAAATGTGGGATTCATAGTCATATTCGACGATGACCATCGTCACACTTTGATGGTAGCAATTTGGATCACCTTACTCACAAAATTGAAGGAATTGACGGTAGCCCGACGAATAAGGAACTAGCTATGCTCGGTTTCTTAGACAAATGCATACGAAGCGGAAAAATCAAACTCCAATTCCAGTTTCGAACGTGTAATTGGAAATTGTTTTTTTTTCTCAGCGTTATTAAGTAGTATCATCCCAGGAATTTGACTAAGCTGCACACTGGAATACAGACAGGTACACAGAACCGAGCATCTAGAGTTGTTTGGGGAAAGTAACGGAAAACCTACACATGAAATTTGTCGCTGACTTCGTCTACCTGTCCAAGGCGAATTGAAGTAGTCTGTCGACATCGATTGGAACTGCTGCTCAGCTTCGACTCCGAGGATGACGATCGGTCCACACTGGGGGAAGAAGCACGACGGAAAAACCGCGTTCGTGAATTCGAGGTTTTGTCTGCTGAGGATGGGAGAAAAGTGGGCTAGTAAGGTGAGAGTAAGTGGTAACATTGAAAAAATTACTTATCATTTGATCTATTCACAATCTTCGAAGAAACCAGTTCTCAGGGCGAAAGCGGGATACGAACACAAATCAGCCGAATTTAGCTGAAATGTAAAATTATCAAGTCCGATTTCGGATAAGCGAAATACACTTATTTGCAAACTAATTTGGTTTTCGGTAGACTCACCTGGAACCCAGCTGAATCTCCTGTTTGTGGTGCTTTCGGGCAACTGAATGTGTTGCACCAGACCACCTCATGTTTCAGTCGCTACGATATTCGAGATATCGCGACCCATGTAATACACTGCTCACAAGGTTGCTGAAAATTCGTCGACAACATACGACCGGTTTCGTCCTTCTTGGGGCTCATTAGGTAGGCGCAGTCCCCGAGTTTCCGTCAACCTATCGACGAATTTTTAGTAACCTTCTGAGTAGTCCGAATTCGGATGTTATGGGTTCGATCTCACTAGAGATTAATGGGACGCGCATTGGCGACGAGTTTAAGCAGGACTGGAACAGGAGTACAGTGCTGCTTGGTTGCGTTAGCAATAATAAACCCCTATCTGCAAGACGGAATTCCGGAATTTCAAATGGTAATTAACCTAGTCGACTGGTGTTGCATAGCATTCATTGAGAGAGCATCAAATCAGGCACAATCATTTTGCTATGGTTAGTGTTCAATGTAGCAACAGAATTGCAAATACCGAGGTATTGTCAAGCCGAACACAAGCAAACAAGACCTTCCTACAACCATGGAAAGCGTAAACCAAGTCAGGTCAATTGTATGAGTGTCGGGGTACCGATCGATCTTATCTGTTGTTCATTTTCAATATCGATCGATGCGTGGTACACTACCGATGTTATTCACAACACAGATCCGATTCCGTTTCTCTCCAATCAGTTCTAACTGTTTACCATGTAGTAGATACGGCTGAAAACTGGAGTTTCATTTTCCGAACAAATCGAGTTACAGCACTTCCGATCAGAAGATTCCTTTTAGACCACCGTTCTCACTCTAATATATACGAATGCCATTAGTACAATGGCATGTTGTATAGTTCAGTACATTTGGGGTGCTGAATACAGCGGCTACTAGTCAGGCGCCACGGGAGGCGGTGTGCGACGTAGACCAAGTGGCAACACATTCCTGCAAAAGTTCGTCCTAGCAATCGCAGCGATTTCTATGGTGTGCGAAATACTGTCAGGCCCATCCGCCATTTGTTGATTTTATCTACTACAGTTCAGCCCGAACATTCAAGTTTTCACCACATTTTTTGCTGAATTTATGACCTATTTGGATTAGGTACGCGTAAAGCTCCTATAACATCATGTTCAGTCTCACAATGGTGTGAAACTCTAGTAAGACTGGGCCAAACTAAGTGAACAAAACAGCCCATTTCACCGTATAGGATGTGCTTTAATATTCCTCAGTGGATTCTTCTCTCTAATCCCACATGCTCTCGAACAGGTTCACACCCGTGCAATCAATCAAACGTTTTGGAAAAAAGGTGATCTTTCCAACGAGGCAGGAAGTTCCTACGTATTGACTAGAATGTGTGATTCATGTATATTTTAGTCAGCTAAGAGGCAGTGTGTTTCAGACAAGGAAGCCTCTGAGTAGTGCTCGGACACACATGACCCTCAAATGCAAAACGCTTCACTTCGTTGATGTTGGTTATAACCTAAACAACTTCCGTCCCACACCACAGTACGGAGTTTGCAGAAAATCATTGGTTTTCACGACAAGTCTGCGTGAAAAGGAAATTGCCCAGGAAATTGTCCGTCAAAATTCATCCTTGGAGGTCATTTAATTCCTCTATCCATTGGTAACAAGGAGAATTCAAGCACTATCAATCACTTCGTTTATTTATCTTCATAGCCCCGGGGTGGAAAACTAAGTGTGATCACGGGAAGTAAAGAGGTGACCGCCGATTTCAAACATCCTGGTCAGTCACGAGCAGCCGATCAACTGTGCGATTTCCTCGCACTTAGAGAGAAATAGCGCCACTTATCCCTCACGTGGTCATGTGTAGAAGGGCTCCACTTGCAAGGAGAAATAGCCACCGAACTTTCAACATTTCTTCATACTACCAACAAACAGCACAGGAGGAACAACTGTTCATACGATGGGTAAACCTTCAATCAGAAAAGTCGCCACTCAAGGGACCAGTTAACACGTGACCGCATGATTCGTATTTTGTGAGTGAAGGATGAGTGACACTAATTTCCGTTCAAGTAAATCACACTGATGACCAGCCACTCGTGGTCTCCAACTTTTATCCAGGATGTTGCGAGCTAGAATCTATCTAGACATTCATGAGATGCACATTGTTGATTATTCCCAATACGGATAAAACACCCATCCAGTGTTTTTCCATTGTTCAGCACAGGTGGGCTTCATTTACAGGAAAACCTCAAAACTGTTTTGCAGTACAAACAAACTCTTGTTTGCTCGTACTGACAGCAAAACTGATACATAAATGCCAATCACGATCACAAGCGCCACCCGATGAACTTCTGGAGGACGCACACGTCGAGTTCAGTTGAGAGGCCGTCCAGATTAATAGCGGTCTGTACCCTCTTAGTCGACAGCATGAGGCTTTAGGACTTCAGTATCGATCAAAAATTCGGTAAAGAGCTGCCTCGAGTAACAAGGTTGGAAATTCGAGTGTGCGACCTCTGCAGCGTTTCGTAGAGTCTATTGTACACAGCCATAGGATATGACAGAAATGCATTAATGCATCCATACACTCTTACGTGCAACTAAAGAACAAAGGATGAACCAGTAGTGAGCCCACAAGGTAGATCTGAGAGATCAAAGTGCCAGGCTGTGCGTGCCCCCTCCCTCCCAGAATAAACTATTCTCCCGGCTCAGCTCACTCTGTCGGACCCTACTGCTGTTTGCTGCTTCTGTCTCATAGGCTCGGTATGTATTTGTAATCCCTGATGAATTTCTAACCTTTGACATGTCGAACCAATTTAGTCGACCATCTTTTACGCGCGCTTTTTGACCAGTTGAGTTACCGTGTGTTGTGCGCAGGCGCGCGTCGCAAATTAAGATCAACTTGCCGTCTTCTCCGGAATTTCTTTGGACTTGCACTACTTCGTGAAACAATTTAGACGGAAACCTCCATGATTTGATGTTTGTACCCCTTTTTATTACGCATTTTATACATATAGTACTGCATTTTACTGATAAATCTCAAGAATCCACAATTTCTGAGTAGTGATTTGCGCATCATTCAATTAGGCTTTCTCGAATACATCAAGTGTTCTACACGCACCAACACGAGAACATTTCTTGGCACCCCGCGCGGTGTGTCGGAATAACGAAAAAAAAACAGCTATTCTCCGTTTTACACAACTCGACCGAAGATTGAAAGCTAAGGCTTCCTCACCTCCACGATACCATGACATTTCACGAGAAGTGGTAGAAAACGGTGTGGTCCTATGTTTTACTCTAAACAGGCTATTCTCCTTTTACACAACTCGACCGAAGATTGAAAGCTAAGGCTTCCTCACCTCCACGATACCATGACATTTCACGAGAAGTGGTAGAAAACGGTGTGGTCCTATGTTTTACTCTGTCGTTCGCCTCGCATTTATGAACAGGATCCCAATCAGAAACACCAATCGAAGAGTTCCGGTTTGAATCAAGGTCCACCTGATCATCTTCGGAAGTGGACGACAACTCACTGGTCACATCGGATGAATCGCCGTCACTGCTGCTGTCGCCGGGTCTAACGACGGATTCTGACCATGGCATAGTGGGAAGCGGAAGTGGTCGACAAAATGTGTCCTGCCACGAAGTGAAGTAACTAGAAAGACGGGGAAAATGGTATGATCACAAGTGTCTAACAAGCAACACCAAAGTCCATCAGATAGAAGAGAGGCCTACCGCACAATGTTGTCGTGTTGAAGTGCAGAAAGAGTGCGTATCTCTCGAAACAAGATTTCCACTTGACTATCGTCTATTTTGATGCACTTGATTGCGTAATCCCGATCCTCTATGATATTACGAGCCTGGGAGAAAAAGACAGGAAGATGATGTATAACACACGAAAACGGATGGCAGAAACGAGACGACAATTGAAAAAACTTCGGCTAATGCCATAATTAAACCGGAATTGAACTGACCGGCTGAAACATAGTTTCGGTACATAGCAGTCACGCGACACCAATGTAGCAAGACAGCCCAGATAGCAAAACACCGCACTCATCAATACAGGAACAATCGAAAGGAACCTTCCAAAAAAAATTCAAACCATGACTCCGGGGCGTTAGCAAGTCCTGGTTTTACAAAGGCGACATTTGGTTTCAACTTAACACGCACCTACGATATTTTGTAGTAATGTCAGGTTTTTTTTCAGGTCGGGTAATGAACCGATCTGAACTGTTGTACAGGGCACGTATTTTAGCTTCAGTACATGATTTCCTAGTAGCTTCAAGCGTAAACAGAGAGGTAGTCAACCCTTGACTTGGCAGAGGAGTATGAAGGAGATCATGAAACGCTTGAGTGCTGTCGGTGCTACTCGCCTTCCAGGATGGGGACCGCGGGATCCTCATTGCGCCTGGTTGGAGACATTACAAGATATGGCTGCCAACCGATATCAGTGGCGTACTTGTTGCCAGTTTCTATCCAGATTGCCTGAGTGAATGCCGAAAACTGATGTCATGCTGTCGATGATGATGATGATGATGAATGAATGTCTGGAGGTGTAGACACCTCGGAATGATTGTAGTAAGCTAGCACTAAGTCTCTTCCCTGTCCACCTTTACTCTTTTCTTTACAATAAGGCTTACAAATAAACCATGGTTGTACGGCAGTGAAGCATCGATGTTGAAAACTGATGTCATGCTGTCTATGATGATGATGATGATGATGATGATAAGCTTCATGCGATGAAGGATCTGAAATAACTTTTCCCAAATTCGAACGGCATGAAGTCTGGTTATCCGCCGAGTGAGTGAGTGTGAGAGTGAGAGTGAGAGTGAGAGTGAGAGTGAGAGTGAGAGTGAGAGTGAGAGTGAGAGTGAGAGTGAGAGTGAGAGTGAGAGTGAGAGTGAGAGTGAGAGTGAGAGTGAGAGTGAGAGTGAGAGTGAGAGTGAGAGTGAGAGTGAGAGTGAGAGTGAGAGTGAGAGTGAGAGTGAGAGTGAGAGTGAGAGTGAGAGTGAGAGTGAGAGTGAGAGTGAGAGTGAGAGTGAGAGTGAGAGTGAGAGTGAGAGTGAGAGTGAGAGTGAGAGTGAGAGTGAGAGTGAGAGTGAGAGTGAGAGTGAGAGTGAGAGTGAGAGTGAGAGTGAGAGTGAGAGTGAGAGTGAGAGTGAGAGTGAGAGTGAGAGTGAGAGTGAGAGTGAGAGTGAGAGTGAGAGTGAGAGTGAGAGTGAGAGTGAGAGTGAGAGTGAGAGTGAGAGTGAGAGTGAGAGTGAGAGTGCCGTCAAATGAGTGATTATTCGCACGAGTGTGAAGGCAAAACGAAGCAACAGATGAAGAATTTGCATAAGCTGTGGAGGCCCAACAGTTTTTATATCTGTGTATACACCCACTATGAGCGATCATATCCTTGGGATGCTGACTGCATTCATTACTGTCTGGTATTGTCATTCTCACTCTTTACCTATGAAGTGAAGTTCGGCACCTACTGATACATACGTAGTCAGGATTGTGTGGCCAAATAAGCCCCTTGATTGAGTGTTACAACAACTTCAGGAACCGTATTCCTATTTAGGGGCTCCAGAGTGCTGCAGAATAAAACGGATATATTGGAGGTTTTTTGGGAAGCAGTGCATCAGTTCTAGCCACGGCAAACAATGCTGCAGGTATCCTTCGCGAGATGGCTCAAGTAGTTAGAGCGTGAATTTGCTGACCGGAAAGTCCGTGGTTCGAGCCCGACTTCTGCCTCTCGACTTCTCCTGGCTAGGCTTGGGCAGTGTCTCAGCCCTCGTGTTTCCTTCGGGTTGCGTGACAGCTAGACACCGAACGGGTGTTACAGCTGAACGATCTATCTATCTATATCCTTCGTTGAAAAACTCATAGGATGCAGGACAAAACAACAGGCCCTCAGCACCAGAAAGACAGCGATCTGGTGGGAAAACACGGCAACATCGGCACACTGATACAAGCCCTTTCCATCCATGCAAGTGATAGATATTAGCAAACAAGCCACGCTGTTAACTGTAAGACTCGTCTCGACACAACTCATTAGAAAGACTATAAATTTGCTTGGTGCGCAGCCTTTCTCGCCCAGTGTACCGTTCAACCTACCCAATCTGCCAGCAAAAGACCGTCTGCAAGACAGCGTCACACAATGGAAGTGACCTGGATTTGGGTTCGGTGTTGGTCTTGAGCCCAGAACGCCAAACAACAAGTGCCTTCACGGTGACCTTAGAAGAGCGATTATTCACCTTGTTTTAATTCACGCATTGTGTAGAACGTTCAGATATCAGCGTTTGCTGAATGGGAAGAGTCCGGTCGGAAGGAATCCCGAAGGTCTTCATAAAAGGAAAACTTGATAGAGAAACACTTCACTAAGCAAAGTAAAGGCACCACTTGAGTAACACTGAACAAGAATGCAGTCAGTAGGGATTCAGTTCAACAAAAAACGCACCTTCAGAACACAGCCAAATCCACCTTTGCCAATAACACTAAAGTCTTCAAAATCCTCCAGTAACCTCGGTTTCTTCGTATTGCTTGACAGATTCGGTGGCTGTAATCCAGGTTTGGCGGCTATGAGGTGGGGTGAAAAACAAAGCAGGTAGATGTGCGAATTAAATGCAAGCGAACTCAGTTCATTCAGTTAAAGAGTAGCTTCTGTTTCAGGCAAAAAGTGAGCATTCCATGTGTGGAGGTTTATTCTAAAAAAAAGCAATGTTCACTGTCCCCACTCACTAAGTTCAGTATCCGTCGCAAAAATATCGAGTCAGCTAATCACTCGGTCGTTCAGTCACGAAATACGTTAGCTACGGTCTCCTTCGGTTACGAACGGGAGAACGATGGATAGCTATGTACTGGAGGAGCGCAGACTATCCAAGCAATGTTGAACTACCTCCGTCACCCATTTAAGTGGGAAGGTGGACCGCCACGGGCTGAGAACCATAGTTACCACACAACAGCACACACGCAGCACCGGTGGGTCAACTGTGTGAATTTTGCGCCACATATTCGACAATCGGAAAGGCGGTACATGTTAGCCCGAATGAGTTTAGTCTGTTGTCAGATCGCTTGCCTCATTTATGCCGTTTCAATCCTGCACAAAGCTGAACACTACTAGTTCTGTGAGGTAGTTGATCTTCCGACACCCGAATTGCATGACCTAAACTGTCGAGGGTGACTGGCTAGTCAAAAATCTTCTGGTGGGCTTCAGCACTGTTGGTTCAAAGTCCATATTGCATCCAAGAAATTCGTCACAGATACGCTGAAGGAATGCGTACACCTTCGGGGCGTACAGAAAGAAGGACGAAAACCACGGTAAGACAGTGGGGGGACAGATGGCACAGTGAAAGGAATGTCAAATACGCCATTAATTCTGCGGGATAAGGACACCAATCTCCCTCAGTATACGGATTTACCTCCTTCCTTCGACTAATAAACCTGACCGTCCTTTGGCTGGGTGCATCTTGCTCACGGAGCCAGGAAGAAAATGAACGAAGGCGTGACACTCCATTGAGTCTACAAACACGGTGTAGGTACCAACACAGCGGAAGACGATAAAGGACCTCCCAAAACAAAGCCAAGACATGACCAAAAAACAGAACTGCACCCAGCAGAAACAACTTACCAATAAATTGGTCGGTTTGTGTCACATCCAGCGCGGAATTTCCCAACATGGAGCCTTGCAAGTCCAAATCCGTGTAACCAAGCAGGAGTGGATGAGACAGCAATAATTTGGGCGATAGGTCCGGTCGACCATTGAGACAGGAGGACACAAAATCAGCCAAAGACGGATGGTTCGGTGAAATCGCGCGCAGCATGTCTGAAATTGCCGCATCAGATCGGGATGAGCTGTCAGTGAGCAGTTGCTGACCAGTGACCAAATATAACACAACAATGCCCTGTTAAGGGATGGATAAAAAGTGAAAATAACCATGCCAGTGAGGACAGGTACACAACCGAGATAAAGTGGAGAAATGACCTCTTGTGGTTACAAGATGAGACAACTTAACATTCTAACTTTAATTTTGCATGATTTCACAAGCTGGCCCAAATTCAGGCGATATTACAGGTCGCCACAAACCCCCTAGAAGAGAAAACCGATTACAAGGAGTTGGTGACCAGGAGAAACTAAGCAAACAGAGGGTACTTATGGCAGTATCCAGACCAGATAGACAAAATCGATGTGCAACTGTGGGATATTTGAGATGAAACGAATTGCAGAAATATGATTGCTTAAAACAATGTCACCTGGACGACAGAATGTGCGCGAACCGAGAACTCTCATCATTATCATCAACATAGAAGTTAGTATCGGCATCAACACCAGTGTGAAAAAAACGTAAAAACCTAAACTGTTCTAGTGGAATTCCATGGATATCTAAAAGGGGACGAGGAAAAAGGATATCACCGTAAGTGAGCCGAATCATTCCACTGTGGTGGCTAAAGAAGCCGAATTACTTGGCAAAAGTAAGAAAACCGCTACTTAGTAATGAGCAGCTAACGAATGAGTCACGATTAAGTTTTAAACGCGATCATTTCTGTGACACCAAAAGTCTAGATGAAATTTCCAAGCCGATCAACATCCACGACTTACTATCAGACCTACACCAAACAACGAAGCCAACAATTCATCATTAAAGCCGCATACATTAAGATCCAACTACAGTGGCTTCATCCTGAGAATAAGCGACTGAGTTAGGTAATCATTATCCGCATGCAGTGGCGACAGCCTGCTTTATCAACATGCTTCTTACAAACCATACTTAGCGAGCACGGCCCTTCGACATAAATCTCACCGCAGCGTTATCCAGAAGGCGCAGTAACGCACAGGAATCCAATGACCATTAAGTGCATCTGGCAGTCGTTCTGGAGCAACCAAGTGAATTCAAACTGCCGATGTTCCCCTTCGTGTCCGGTGACCCTGACTTCGGGAAATACTCATCAACGATTGTCACAATATGGTCCGGAGCCCCATCAATAGAGCATTAAGCAATCGGTACTATGCTTGGTGCAGATACAGTGAACTGTACCCCCGGTGCAAACCGCAAAATAGTTTACTGCTTTGGTGAGGCTAAATCTACGGACCCTTAAGAAACGAACAACCTGTCATTGGGTGAAGTAACTTACCAGTTGGTAAATGTCCCTGCGCTGTACGTGTCTTTGAAAACGCTTCCGCGTGTTGTGCGGCTTTTTTGCTCCGACTGAAGGATTAACGTAGGATACAGTGCTGTCTTCGACAAGTTGATCCAGTCTACGAGAAGGAAACAAGGACGTTAGGTGTACATTACTTGAGACTTTTTTCTAGATAAAATGATAAGCTTAAAAACCCCTTTCGTAAGTGACGTGCCCACAGTCCCATCGGCTGTGGTGTCCAACATGCAAGCTGGTTTGCCAACGTCAGGAAGCAACCTTTTGTAGGTTACTGGAATATTACTTCCCTAGTAACTGCTACGAGCTAATCGACCAACATACGGGATCCACATGACTACCGAGTAGTTCTCTCATAAAAATAATAATGGTTCAGCTACAACGTCCTTCCAGCGCCTCACTGTCGTGCCACCCGAAGGAAGCCCGAGGGCGAAGATACCACCAGGTTACCCAAGCCTAGACAGGAGCAGTCCAGAGGCAGATGTCAGTTTCGAACCGCGGACCTTCTAGCCAGTAAGTTCGCGCCTTATCAAACGAGTTATCACGAGATCGCATACTCATATGAAGGTCGATTATCCCGCTATGGAATCAAAAGTGTTGACTTTCCCTATCTGCCCTTCTCCAGTGGACCAGAGGTTTATTCTGGGGAATCTGATATTGAAATCACCTTGTACGAAAACGTCAGCAATACCTTAGTCTCGCAAGCTCTCAACAAAAACTCAGTAACTCCCAAACATGCATCTAATCAGTGTACTAGAATTAGCAAAGACAGAACAAAAAAATCTCTACGAAAAACTGCACACTGCTATGTTAGACGTGATATTTTCAGTAACATCTGGTAATGCCCAACTCATCAGACAAGTCAATCGATTATACTGTAGCGGACATTTACATGTCCCCTCAACCAACTTCACTTAATTTGTCCAGTACATGGGTGTTTACTAGATCCCACGACTTACCTGTTACATAAGCACACAAGTCACGTGACAAACGCCGTTTCACCCGCAACCTTGACCGACTACAAGTCAGTTCCTGTCTTGTACGCATCGGAACTATTCATATTTTATACACACATCAAACTTTCCTATATATAGGAAGCGACAACACAGTCAACACGCATGGACTCGCGCGCGCGCAGCGAGCAAGTAGTCAGCTAAACACTCCAAGTCCACGGACAATCATGGAATACGTGTAACAGCCAAACTGTGGAGAAAACACGTTCCCACCGTCCGGACTTTCATCAAGGAACTCTCACATACGATAAGTTCCTTTATTGACTTGCTCCCATTTCGCATTGTATTCATTTTTATACGTGTCGCAACCACACTAAATATCTCTATTAGTGCACACACGCCTTCTGAATTGCATTACTCTGATCATCAGCTGAGCACTAATAATACCATCGATAAAACAATTGTTCGTAAGCCTTGTGGGATAGAGACTGGCTGATCAGCTTTGCAAATGAGAGCAGCAGCTTGAACTGAGGAGTTATTGCTGATAACAGGGGACCCGACGTGCCGCCTTAGAGGCCTCAAAGAAAAAGCATTGAGAAGCACGTTAATTCGATGCAAATCGAACAATGCAACCGAGACAAACAGCACAAAGTCAGTCTAAACACCTTCCAGGGGTCGGGAATAGTGACTTACAGTTCACTTAAAAAGTAGCCGCGGACAAATTCACAATTTTCCCTCATTATTAAAAACACTGGAAACTGATCAAGCACATGTCGCGCTCGCGAAAAAGCTACAACGGGCAACTCACAACGGGTAACATGCTCCGCAAAAATAAGAACACACACCAGATTGAAGTGGTATGGGATGCGGAAACAGCTGTCATGGTAAGTGATCTTGACAAACTGTTCTGCCGAATGGCAAAGCTGCGGATAAGCGGCAAAACTAAGCGTCCGGCCTTCGTGATTTAATGTGACAACTCATCAACAATCTTAATCATAAAACCATAAGATAGACAGTGAAATTTTAGCCAACTGGTAAATCGCTTTCAAATAGTTCTTGACCACGACGTAGCCCAGCAATTGAAGCGCGAACTTACTGACCGGATGGTCTGTGGTTCGAACCACACTTCTCCTGTCTAGCCTTGGGCGACCTGGCAGTATCCCAGTCCTCGTGCTTCCTTCGGGTGACATGCCAGCTAGGCACCGAAAAAGCGTTACAGCTGAACGCTTATTTATCAAAATAAAGTAAAATAAAAGATCCAGGACGTGTTCTTCTGTGGTTGTTCAATTAAACTAGCAGCCTCGAACGATACAAATCCAACTGTGACAACTACGCCGGCATCAGCCTTGTCATACAGGGACCGAGATATTCAATATGGCTCTTATCGATCGGCTTTCCATCCATGGACAGGCGCGTCGATTATAGAGGGTTTCTGAGAATTCGGCATCGCTCTGACCATGACCGATCCCGGTGCCTTGTGAAACGCGATATTACTGAAGAGTTGTGCTACCATTTGTTGAACTGATACGGGTCCACAGATTTACAAGAATAGCTTAAGCAATGGTAACTGACGAGGAGTCTTACGGCTTTGACATTGACATAGGGGTAAGGTAGTTACCCGTTTTATACTATCCATCCTGCATGTTTGTGACCAGAGCACGCAAAGAAACGTTGGATCGAGTTTTTACACCACGTCAATAGTACCTGTTTGAAGGAATCACGTGTGGTTCCACAGAACACTGAAACACTACGGTTATCTCGAACGGCTTCCAACAAAGATGATCCTCATCTGTGTTCGATGTGAATTTCTCTCAAGCTGCCATTGAACACCGAGTTCGACCCCCAGACTAAAATACATCAGCTTCAACACTATGCTCAGTGGCCATGTCTTAGCCAAAAAAGAGTGAACATCTGCACGAAAGTGCATGGAAAACATTTTTTCAAGTGAAAATTATCCTTCGGTATTGATAATCTAGGAACCAACATCTAGGTCTAGCAAGCTGTTATTTATCTTTTTTTCTTTACAAATGCGAGGACTGCCCAGTCTGATGCTGAAGGCCTGAATTCGACCATTAGTGGAGGATTATTCTGAAAACAGGGTTTTCAAGGACATCGAAGACACTGTTTTGGTACTCCAAAACTAGCCTATAATGGTTCGAACAAATCCTTCACACTCCAGAAGATGAATTGGTCTGGCGTGTTCTCAACCAATGCCACAATATAGGCTGCCGCTGCCGATGTGGTGGATCAGCAACGTCAAGCCACACGTTAAAAATACTGGTCACCAATCGATACACAGCTTCAGCCAGTGGAAGAAAGGGTAAGGTGCCATCTATGTGGATCTCACCGCCGATCGTCAAAAGCGGGCGGGTTCACTCTTCCGTGCGAGTAAATCGAATAAAAGGAGAGTGCTGTTGAGCAGCACAAACTAAAATATTGTGCTCGGTAGGTGAGTAAAAGCCATTAATGTGGCTATTCTACTCGATAATGTCCCAGTGGGCTCGAACAAGCTCAGTGGTAAGGCGTAACTTACTGACCAGAGGTTCGAACTCTATTTCCGCCTCTCAACTGCTCCCGTCTAGGGTTGGAAAAACTGGTAATAGATTAATTAGCCTTTGTGCTCCCTTCGGGTGGCATGGCACCTAGGCACCGAAAGATGTTACAGTTGAACGGTTCTGAGTGAGTGAAGTAGGAATACGTCTATGGCGGGAATACCACCTTATCAGAGCATAGTGAAAGCTATCGAACCGTATCAAACTGATACAAGAAGATTTCGAAAAGTCTCCATACAGGTTCATAATGCAACGAGAAGTTCAACAAGCCTGCTAATATTGGAACTAAAGGAATAAAACCAATGTGATACAAAGCAAGCGCTTCGAAATGTGTGAACCAGTCTCCCTCGACTGTAGGTCATTCTACTTCAGTAGATAGTTAGTGTAGCTATCAACTTCTGGCACCCACTTCCAAAGATGGCACGCTTAATCACTCAGTATCCTACACTGGTTTGTCGGTTAAGTCAAGCAAACCTCAGCCAGTCGTTTAACTTGAAAATGGGTTGTTCGCATGGAGTATATTCATTGTTGTGATTCTCTTTGAGCAGTAAAATAGTGATTTAGGGAATTATGAGAAAGGTGCTTTTTTCCTGAATTCGGGTATTTGTTTCCCTCTCCTTGCTTTCATGCCCTGGAGGTGGCCTTTCCTGCCTTTCGACTTCCCCTGTCTAGGCTAGGGCAACCTGACAGGATCTCAGCCCTCACGCTTCCTTCGAGTTGAATGGCTGCTAGGCACCGGAACGGTGTTGCAGCTGAAAGAGTGGTGCGTGACCTTTCCTAAGTGAAGTTATTGCAGCCCATAACCTATGTTCCTAGTTTCCGGTGGTTCTACTGCAGATCTAGGCACAAATCACGGGAAGCCGAGCACTTGCCTGGCAAAGAAATCGTATTCACAAACGGTGACCTGTCCACGACTGCCAACGAATATACTCCTCGGCTATAAGGGAGGAAGATGAAGGGAGAAAGACCATAAAGCTGGGCGTTTGTAACAGAAAACAGAGGAAGAAGTCGAGTAACGTGCTCAAAGAAAGTGGGACAGAAGGTTCAGACAACAGTGCTTTAACAGATTTTTTTTATTACCGATTCGCTTGCAGTATCGACCGAGTGAGAAGGATTGTTCCTCAAATGTTAGCGAACAAATTTTCACTGCATAACCACAAGTCAATCTGGCTTACCGTCCACTCCAAACAGGGGAGCGATTCGCACTTCTGCACTATTCAACTAAAATGGAAAGTTAACTCGAGTCCGAAATTCACCAGACGACAAATGCCAACGCGATTATTGACGAGCAGGCTTTATAAGCCACAACCAGAAAACAAAGGGCTGGTCGTTCTTCAATGAGGCCGAAGCATCCAAGTAAACCGCGTCATGCAAGACCACGACAAAAAGTGATCATCGACCATAAAAAAACATCCAATTAGGCAACACCCTCAAACACCAAATGCTGTTGAAGCTCCGCAACTTTTCTTACAAGCGATAAACTCTCCATGGCCCAGAAAAAGCCTACCGCAGATGTTGTGACTTTGCTAATCGTATTCGCCTACCTGTCGGTGAAAAGCAACAAGCGAGTTTTATATCTTTGTCAGGGCACTGTGTCGATAAACCCACCCTGTTATGTTCCGGTTCCGAGAGGATGAAATCGTTTATATGTGATGGAGGAGAAGAATAACAGACAGATGCTACCCAAGGTGCAATAGGTCTCCTAAGGAGGGACAGGCCAGGTGATTTTTTTGAGAGGTAGGTTTTCCATCTTCACTGAAACGGGTTTTCATAAAGGTATGTCGTAACAAAACGAAGTGCTTTCCCAAGCACTCTTTCAGTTCCTTCAAAAGAAAACTATGCGGTGACGAGTCGCGGTCAACGGTGTCATGGAAGATACTGAGGTGAGAGAGTATGAAAAGGGGTAAAGGCTCTCTCTTGTCCTACAGCAGTAAACACCTTCCTACCGTTCCTACTGAACTGTTCACATCAGCATCAGACTTAGGGTCCAGCGAACTCATAAATTCGAATCATGTCCAAGGATATGAGAGATAGTCAATTTCCTTTATCCGATAAGCATTTACTTAATTGATTCAGGGTAATGGGCTCACTTGAAGGAATTGGTCGGTTTCAGATATCTCTGACTAATGCTGCCACAAACGGCAATCACAGACAAACTCTGGAGGATTAAGACTCATTCCCAACAACGAACATGGAAAACGAATCCCAAGGGTAAATTCTCTATTTTGGCTACGCTGTAACTTAGTGGACGACCGTGCAACTTCGTATCGGTCCCTTGGCTTCCTACTCCGCCCATTTTGGCGTATCAAAAGACACGGTAGCTCTAGACAGCCCTTAATGGAGACAAAAGGAGAATCATTACATCTGTATTTATAGGGTAATCACAGAGCGTTCCACAAGGTCGTGCTAGAATCACCGTGAGGGGGCGAGTTAAAGATGTTCGATGCGGATTGGCTGGCATTCTGACCAATCAAAGCACGCCTTCGTTTGGTCCGTGACCTGCATGTGACATATCCGTCCAAATGATGTAATGTTCGGTTAGTAGAGACGGCTGGCCTCCGTACAGGCTAACACATTACAGTGCAATCTTTTCGATCTCAACCTTAAACTACCCCCAAATCTACTTCGAAGTTTCCCATCCTCCCCGAATATTACATCCCCAAAACCCATCACCTATAGCAAACCACAACGAGCATGCTTACAACACAAAAGGATAAGGTTGTCGGATGAACGCAGAATGAAAAACACACCTGTAAGTTTCTGTGGGCCATTGAACAGTCATGAAGCCAAGCCAAAATACAGACCAGTTGTTGAACTACGTTTCGAATCCAAGATAGATGGAGCGCATTGATTGCGTGAAAACGATAGGACTGCCCGGTTGTTCCGCAAGTCACTGTGTTTTCGCATACCAGCTGGTGTCGGACAAATGTGTGGCTACTCATCAAGTTGGTCAGGCAAATGCCAGGCGGCTGATCACTAACAATTCTCACGATCGACCATCCATGCCACTGAGTGTCTGTCTGCTTGTTTGGCGTTAATTTCACCTCCCCTGTCGTAGAAAAAAGAGAGAACAGGGTTTGTGAAGTGTGCTTTGGTGCATTATTAAAATTGCAATCTCACCTTGTCAACTACTCGCTGGTGAATGGTGCCGTTTAACTTCCGTCTGAAAAGAGTACGGGTTCTAGCTACCCGCACGATTTGCGATGATTCTCAAAAACCGCGAAGTGGCTACATTGCTTTTCGATGTGGATTGGAAACTTTAAAAATCGCGAAACTTGTCAACAATTAGATGTACACTTCCATATTTCCTTCCTACCGTCAGTGTATTCGCCCAATCAGATAAACCTTCTGTTGGCGCATTTTCGGTTTAATGCTCTAAATGGGGATGCAGAGTTTTCGGACCAAATTTAATATTACTATTACGACGACTGATACACAAGATTTCACTAACAATCTGAATGATCAAAAGCACGATTTCATATCAATTCGTGGGCAAGAGTTGCCAACTGAGAAGCATCCCATGTGTTGGTGTGAGGAACTCATATTGCTTGTTCTAAGTGTGAGTAGTCAAGATCACACACGACTCGCTAGCCGTCACAACGGGATCTGTCACTTATTATCAATTTATTTAATTGCACCATGTTAATGGCATAAGAATTAGAAGAGGATTAGAAATATATGATAGATATGATTAGAATTCAGCATATACGGTTGGAATATATTGAAAAACGCTTGCAGTTGCTACAAACTCTGTTGCGTTCTTCCTTTTTAAACTAGTAAATTGACCTTGGCAACAGGCAGCTCTCTGCATTCCACCAGCTTCTTCTTTCCAAACTACCATCAAGGAAATTCGACCAATCGTGAAGTGATCATTCTTCGAGAAGATAATTTTTAATCACTCATAAAAATTCAAGTAAGGTTTCAGTGAGTATGGTTAATGATGGCCTTCCGTAACGGTGGCCAGCTTGCAATACACATACCGACTAAAAACTGTTTGAGGACAAACAAGACAATGTTAGTTTCAACCTTTTAGCACAAAAACTACATTCGTTTGATCACAAAAACCCAACAAGTGGACTATCTAAATTCGAGATGCGGGACTCGGAAGAGATGCAAATCGTTACGACGAGATTTGCCTCACCCCAGAAAAGGAGATTGTAACAATGATGCGCAGGCTGATGAGATGGAATTTATAAAATACTACGAACCTGATGGTGCTCGATTTCTCAAGTGTTGAAAAGCTACAATAGGACAAAGACCAACAGCAGACGAAGACGAGCAGCGCGTAAAACGAACGATCTGCGATGAAATACTGTTCAATGTGTCCAAGAAGGCACTACTGACGGATGCGCCAAGTTTTCCAGTAGCTATACTGCACGAGATGAGGGCGTAAAAGAACGATCTGCGATGAAATACTGTTCAACGTGTCCAAGAAGGTACTACTGACGGATGCGCCAAGTTTTCCTGTAGCTATGCTGCACGAGATGACCCATTCATCGATACGCACTGTTTGACCGGTCCCAGTGTGTATACCATCAAACCGGGCTTTGCAAGGAAACATGCTCGGAGAGACATCGGTGGAGGAACGGCTGAGTGGGGAGACGAACGAATGACATTAGAAGAATGCATGGAATGGGTGGAAAGCTGATTGATGATAAGTAAGTGAACGAAAACCTACCTGTGAGAAGATAGTGGTTTCAGATGCGGACCATCTATACAGCAACCACGATTAATTTCAATCTCGTTGGTCGTAGACAGAGTGGTGTGCGTGGATTTAGAGGGTTTTGATGGAATCAAAACTGGAATCCTAAAGGAACAGGAACATCTGTGCCTGGAAAGAGAACATCCTTCGTCCTTCACCATGTGAACCTCCATGTCGGTGGTGCTAGAACGGACACCCCGCGCAAACAGTCTAAAAATATAAGGGGATAATTTTAAAAAAATACATGATGAGTAGCTGAGGACAGACGCTTTCAGCTTTTATCAGCGTTTAATCGTATACAGAGAAAACCGAAAGCTGATGAAATGCAGAGTGGAAGCCCGTCCAAGTGACAGAATTGGCTGCTCACCAAATGTGACCTGACCAGGTAGCCCTCTCAATGCCTGCAATCGACGAAGATATCCGTAGCTCACCTCATTTTAATGAGTCCCACCAACCCTGCGCCTCTCAATAGTGAGCTTCATTCACAGAGATAAGCTCCGCTTGGAATAAAATCCCTCGTTATCGACTCATTTCAGTTTAATTGCCCAAAGTTAAGAACAGCAGCTTGGAAATTAATCGAGCTCGACCCTACCACAAGAGTTGCGTCGGCCGACAGACTGAGTGATAGCCCAACAAGGATCACATGTACACTGTGATAGCAAGAGGGGCCTATGAAATTTTCCAGATGACTGTTACGGGTCTGAAAAAACAACGACAGATGTAGTAGTGGTAGTATACGGGACAAAGGGTGAAGCAGCAAATTGTGTCACACAAGAACTGCAAGCATTCAGAGTTAATCAGTTTCGGTTAATTACTACTGTGTAGTCTAGAGTGGAACAGATTAGAATATAGTTTCATATGGGAAACTACTCACAGTGTTGCTGAAAACTCTTCGACAGCCCACGAATTAAGTTGTAGCCGATGGTTTCGCTGACGATTGCCGTTCTTTGGCCGGTTGGTCGAGTTGGATGACGATGAGCATGACTGTCCCCAGCAGTTGTGGAACATCATAAACGAGAGATTCAGTTGAATCTCTAGTGAAAACCGAATTGATTTGCAAATGAGTGTAGTGTATTTCATTAGGATATTCTCGCGAGAGCCCTCCCACATATTTTCAGTCAGGAAGAAAAGGATTTTTTTTAATTTCCCACACAACGAAATGATGTTTGTCTAGTGAGGGAGGCTATGTACCAAAGTTGGAGTACAACTATCGGAAACATAACAGATAAGCGGTAAGACCTCGCCTGTGCAAATTTCGGCGATCAAACCATAAACTAACACTTACTTAGCAAGTTCCGCTTCTTCTTGTTTTCGTTTTTGTAGCGCTGACTAAATGGGATCAAAACACACAAAAAAACTGTGAAAATGGTGAAACAGCTAGTCGTAGTGACTTGAATGACCGAATTCCGGCGAGATAGGCGGTAACTCAAAAATCTGCCAGTATTAACAAATTAGAGGGAGCAACTAGCCTTTCCGATCTAGTGAAACCCGAGGAAGTGAGAACGATATTACTAAGTATGCTGAGTAGAATAGAATGGTCGCGAGATTTTATGAAATGTCTGAGATCACTAACACACATTTAAAAGTTCGAATGGACGGCTGGGCATCCACGGTCAGCATGGCTACTATATCATCCTGCCGCCAATATCGGAGCAAAATGATGGATGTCTACAGAGCAATCCGTCTCTATGAAAAAACCTCCATCTAATAAACACTTGACAGAGGGAATATTTTTTACGATAGACTTCTCCCGTAATACGAATACCAGTAAACAGGCAGTAAAAAGTCCACATTCGAACAATAATACTCAAGTCTAAATAAGACAGCCACTAGGCGAGTGTTTGACAGTCTCATATGTGCTCTTGACCTCATTTAGCTTGCCCGATAAAGTCAAAAGGAGCGTAAGTCAAATGAAAGTAAGCCTGTGGCTAAACGAAGCTCACAGAAATGGCCACACTGGTCACTCGCGTTCGACCAGTTCTGCCTCCGTCTTAGCTCAACTACAACGCGCGTCAGTGCAACGGTGGCGGAATGTTCGCCTCACACATCAGGTGTTCAGTGTTCAAGGACAGGTCAAGGACGTGCACTGCGAAGCAGCTGTAACGAAAGCGAAACCCGGGTACATTGCTCCCTCGTTTGGATGTGGACAGACATGAACGAGTGCACTAGTATGGGGTTAGTGATGTGAGCACAAATTCCACGACTATACTTGACACTGTTCGATCAGTGAAATGAAGACAGGCTTCTTCCAGTGATGGGGACACCGAACAAAGCAAGACTTTGCGTTGTGGCAAAGCTAGACGGAGCCAACTCCCACTCTGGCGCACAGCTATCACTAGAGGTTCCACGTTAATGTTTTCTACTTTTCAAAACGGTTTTTCTTCGTATGATGTTAGGTCTGCCGTTCGCAAACGTCATTCATCAATCCAAACGGTTTGGTTGCCAAAAAACGTTCAGCTGTAGCACCCTTTCGGAGCCTAGCTGCCATGCCAACGAAAGGACGTACGAGGGCTGGGATAATGCCAGTTTTCCCAAGCCTAGACCGGAACAGTCGGGATGCTGAGATTGGATTCGAACCATTAAGCTATCTCGAGCCCTGCTAGTGAATTATAGGATCTATTTCTACCCGAGTACGGTCAGTTGCAGGTCCAAAAAACACTCTTAGTTTCATCCATCCGGAACAGAAATGCGCAGCGGAAATACCATATGACAACAGCATGATAGTCAATGAGGAATTCCGACACAACGTCGCTAACCTTAACCTCAGTAAAATGGCCATGGAATGCGCTAAACTCACTGGACCGTTTGTCTAGGTCACTGCACAAAACAGTGGGCTTCAACAAATGGCTCTAACAGAAGTGGAGAAGCTAAGAAAGCAAGCTGACATACTGTGCTAGTGGCTAGAATGCTTTTGTTTCAAACCAGCCAATCCTGTGTTGGAACTTGAAGAGATGAAGCGTCATGCTAGCACAACAAAAACTAGCGAGAGTTCGGAATAGGAAAGTGCCTTTTTCACCTAGTACACCATTTCCGTCTTTGATACGTTCAAGTCAATCGATTTTTTGCTTAACTTATATAACAGAACAATGCTTCAAAAGCACCTCTGTAAATCGAGAAGATGCATCTGACTTGACGACGATGAATTTCATCGACAACAAATAAGAACGGATTCGTTTATGTTTGAGTTGTTTTATACACGGTCACATTGTGGAATGGTATGACGATTTGACCACGGTTTGGAAGTTTATGAACTCGTTGAATTAGCTGAAAGCACAAAGTCCACCGATAAGTAAAAGGAGGAAAATTAAAGATCATTACTAATAAGAACCGTCTCCCTATTCCTAAGATTTTTCTCTACTAAGCTACATCATGCACTCCTGTAATAACAAACTGTAGACACAAAAACCCGCCCAAATATGAGGTAAAGGTCACTATCCTTGCTTGCATAAGGTATGTAACAGGTGCCCGTCATGTGAGTTCATTACACCAACAGCTGATTTATGCACATAAACTTGTTTTTCTTCAGAGTATTCGTTAACTGAAGTGTTGTATAGGGCTGTAATTCCAGAACAAAAAAAACAGATCATTAACCAATTGTTTAAGGGGCAGTTTGCACCAATGAGATGATAGGACACGCTGCAACCCTCACTGTCTCTGTGGGACACTGCTATGCAGAAAGCGAGAGTTTATGCCTGGCTACTTGATACACGAATGCAGGTTTTCAGACGTCGAAACTAATCGTGGCGATGCAGTGTCAAATACAAACAACCAAGTACCTATCTACGCCAACGTCATCAAACGTCCGTGTTGAGTTCGATAAAATTGGAAAGGCAGCATCTGATAGGAAACGAAGCGATGGTGTAAAAAAAATGCACTTTCTGGAGATGACAGCCAGTCACATTAAAAATCCTTCAACTGTCGAATGAATCTGTACACTGACAAACCCAACTGGGTGCACAAATATGATCCAACGACTTGACATCCGCACTATGTTCCCAATAAGGTGCACATAAATTCAGATTTGCCATGATCAGTCTGGTTAACCTCCAAAACAATCATTACTGCGTGTTTTCCTTAAAGGTTACTTGTTTCAGTGGCGCGTAAGCCACTTCCACGGATCCAACTTAGGTAACAGTCCAAAATGAATTTTCAAACTCCCAAAGCCGGATTACCTAGACATTCTTGATGTTCGCACACTGAAGTAGAACAACAAGCGGTTCATTCTTGCACACTAGTTCCCTCTGCATTGATATATGTTGTCTGTCACAATCCAGGACTGAACTGACTGTGTCCTCACTCTCCTCCGGTTTTCGGCTGGTGACAAGGACATAGCTGCGACCAGGCAGACTAGGGTGAGAATTGTTCCCTCTGCATATATGTTGTCTGTCACAATCCAGGACTGAACTGACTGTGTCCTCACTCTCCTCCGGTTTTCGGCTGGTGACAAGGACATAGCTGCGACCAGGCAGACTAGGGTGAGAATTGTGCTGAGCCATTAGGCGGGGTCTATAGATGCCAAGAGAGCCGATGGTAATCGCCCCTGCGCGACTCGTACACTAAGCCTCATTATCCTGGAAGATCCATCGGGAGAGTGACATCTATTCGGAAGGGTCACACATGTCCAACAGCCTACACCCCTAATTGAAAAATCTTCCAACAAGCTCTGGTACACTATTCAAGCATTAACTACAGAATAAGCGATGTTATCGTACACTGCGCGTTAAGAGCTGATGAGGTGAAACGTTTGAGAACTAACGGCCCACACAATAATCCATTAATTTCCATGTTACCGGGCTGAAGCTCGGTTTTTATTGTGGTCCCCGTTACAGGCTAACTTTCGTTGGTCCATACATTATAATGCTTTCATATTCCATTAACCTACAAGAATGCAGATTGATTTATCTACTTAATCGTGAGTAATTTTGCAATTCATTTTAGGCATCTTCAGGGCACGAAGCTCTATTTAGGAGGAGGGCCTACTTTCGAGGGATTATTGGGGTGTTTAAGCTTCGCGTCGCTGAAGACCTCCACCACACTGGAAACGAACCTGCATATGACAGGTAGTCATGTACTTACTTGGTGTCAGTGTTGAAAAACCCCGGGTCTTGGGATCTTTTCCAGATAAGTCCTGCCACTAATGCAAAAAGTGCATGTGCGAAAAGTTAAGCCCCGCCACTTTTTGCCGGCTCCAATTTAATGTACGCAGACAATCTTGACCTATTTTTGATGAAAACAATTCTGTATCCGCATCTAGGCTCATTTGTGCAAAACTTTTCTCCGTTCGGACGTAAAACCTTAAATGAACTTTCTGACGCTTTTAACTCTCGATCATGACCAACAGATGGCAATACGTTTTTCGCAAAGCCACGGAGTGATCCATCAGCAACGTTTATGCCACCAAATGACACTTTCAACTGTTTCTGACAGGGGGAGGTGTAATGCCCGGCAGTGTCGGCAAGAAATCGACCTTCAAAAGAGAACTTGGCTGGAGCGGTCTAGGATGGAGTTTAGGACAGCAATTCTGTTCATTCATTGCTGGTCCAAAATTTTTGCAAAACCAAATTCTGTTCAGAGGAATTATCTATTAACCACACGACTGCTATTTACTGGAAGAACTTTCTTCGCGAAGTTTGCGCCTGGCGGCTTTTGCAAACTCCAACAATTATCGGCGGTCCAGGTTTACACGTCAAGATGGATAAAACGCTAATATCTCGCTATAAAAACCACACCGGGCGAATCCTTCCCCAGCAGTGGATTTTCGGATGGATCTGCCTGGAAACTAACGAGGTGTTCATGTATGCAGTGCCAGATCGAACTGTGGTCACTTTGATGGACACAATCCAGGCCTGCATCGCTCCCGGCTCAATCATCATCTCCGATATGTGAGCGTCAAACAAAGGAGTTGAAACGATGATTGATATTAATTATACTAATGAAACGGTTAAGCATACTAAAAACTTCGTGAATCCAACGACTGGAGCTCACATACAAACCATCGAATCTCTTTAGCACGTCTACAAGATGCACAATAAACGCTAACGTGAGTTTGTTTGGAGGCAAAGGTACCGAAAAATGGACCTTTTCATGCAAATTATTAATGACATGTCCCAATTTCACCCTCTTCAGTAAAAACTAAAGGTACAAATTTTATATCCTCTTTTTTCTAATCTTTTATGGGTGGTGGGGGTCAATTTTTTGGCGGGGCTTATCTGTAAAAGATCCTAGCTTTGTTGGAAGAAGCCTTTTCTTCTGGGAAAATAGAGTGGTCCTTGTTGAAAGTGTGACGTGGCCTTTCAGAAGATGCCAATTTAAAACAAAATGTCACGGAGCCAGATCGAATGAGTTGTAATTTAGGTGGGGACTGGTTTCTGTTGGAAGGGGTCGAGGTGAAGGATACTATTGTGTTTACCTCGTAAGTGAAAAACATGTTAGAAAATCTGAAATATATGTAACTCGAGTGCACTACTTATTTGTTCGCCTGTTTCTCCAGGAGTATGGTGTTAAAAACAAGGAATATGTAGAGCAAAGGACTACTAAAAACGTACTTCCGAAAAGATAGTTCATGCATGATGAAAAACTCAAAGGAAAGGGTGTGCGATCTTGTAATACGCAGAGAGAACATGCAGTATCAGCGAAATTTGATATCAGGCCGTTAGAGAACCGAAAGCTAATATCGTGCACCCACCCCGGAACGGCTCTCGCATAAACCGTCACAAAGTAATGCGTGAGAACTATAATTCATAGGTGCAAAAGGGTGGGCGTGGACCAAGTTTGCCGCTACCTTCTTCAACCACTCGTTTGGTTCACAGTCCACCCTGAGCATTTGCATCTGAGCGATTCGATGAGGTAGCAACATGCGTAAAAAACAGTAGCATGATAGTTCGATCCATAAGTTATGAGATCCGCGTGGTGCATGGTTACAAGTTTATCTTTGTGAATCACCCGAGCTTAAGATCCTCGGGCTCAGCCTGACCATCGAATTGGAGTGTGGCTACCGAAGCGTGCCAACAACTATTCACAGTCAGAATGAGTTTTGGATATTGGACAGGAGCCAAAGACTATGGAGCTGTGCAGTATAAGAGTGGAGGCTAATTAGTAGTAGAGTTCTCTTTTAGTACGTACAACTTAAATGAAAATCATAGTAGCACCAGTAGACTAACATGAACCGAGCATACCATCACGCGAAAAATATCCTATATTCAAACGAATTTTTAAAAACAGGTGGTGACCAATTGCTACCTAGATGTACGTTTCTGGGGGACAACTCAGTGGCATGAGATCTGAGCACAGTTGATCATGTAAGAACCGGAGGAAGGTCAGGAAAGTAGGCTTACGTGGGCGTCTGCAATTCTCCAGGTAACGGCCTCCCGAAGGCAATTGAGCTAAAGTTAAAACAAGCAAGAACAGAATCAACATAACATCAAGCAGTGATCAGAGATGATTGGGAAAAAGTAGAAAGCACCTGGGCCACTGCACGTGTTTCACGAAATAGCAGTGCGAATTACGACCAGAATAATACATAATAATAATAAAATGTACAATACACAAAAAGTCCAACATTTTTGCTTTCCTTGGAACGCCTCATGAATACCGAAAACAGACCCAGTAATATAAAACGATTTAGCAGTGAAACACTGTATAACCAATGGTCGGGAGCACGTAAACATCAGCGAGCGATTGGGCTAATTTATTAATGTTGGGCGACGTTTTCAACTCCGAAAGTCATATTACCAAACTCCAAATTGAAAAGTTCAAAAGTGCTTCACCTTCAACTGAGACACCCCATCTGTGAGTTGTATCAATCTCGGTGATGGGACCAGTCAACGTTAGCAGCCAGTAAGTTGTTACGACGGGTGGACATAAAGCGCTTGAACACACACACTACGGTTCAAGACTATTGTTCGTAAATGCTCCACTTACCGAGCGGACAACTGGAGTGATTCGTTTGACGTGCACGTATTTGCTAAGGGAAAAGCAGGCAGATATACACGCCCGCAAGCTAATTTAGTGTTACTTGGAGATTAAGGTGTATCTCAGAATTTCCAGACCATCATGCTTATCAACCGGTGTATGGTACACGAATTTCTTCTTGGACAATATTCAAGTATTTTCCTGATATGATACTATTTATAGGGTAGTCCAATCCCGTCAAGTTTGGACTGGTTGCTCTGGGGAGAGCAGAGTAACTGGCGAGTGAACGGAGAGCTCAGTCATATTGCCCATTGAAATGTACCGATGGTGAAAGCCACACTGGCTATCATACAACTACAGCGTGCGGACCATACCACATCACAATATGACTACTTGCACAGCTCCAGAATCTTTTACACTGCATACGGCCACAGTATCGCACACTATACTAATCATTTCAGTTGGTCCAATAAACCAGGCCAGGTTCTCCAGCACAAGATCCAGCAAACACTGTGTGATTCCCGAAATGTCTATCCACTACATATCGACTGTTTTGCGTTTAAGTACGAAAGCTTCTGGTCTCAAGAACACTGGGAAAAATACTGGCCCATCCTTCGCAAGAGAGCGACCCCTTTGAGCGGAGGCGTCACCACGTCAAGCAGCTCCTGTAGCTGGACAGCGATGTTCAGCCAGGCGGAATAAAACTGAGTTAAGGTCACCTTCGCAGCGCACGGTTTATCCAGTACGCCTGTTTCAAGAAAAGTGAGGCTGTAATGTGCTTTTTGGTCCGTCAGTACTTTTCAGTTACATTTCCTTACCTCCTTGACACAGATGCGCTCTTCTATCGACTCCTCTACACCCGTGGGTTGTTGTTTCAACCGGGAAATCGTAAGGTGCTGACGTTTATGGGCTTCGGTGACAGACTTCAGGTATTCAAGACCCGTCTCTATGATCTCTTTAATGCACACCTGGTTTGAAGAGAGGAGAGAGACAGAGGAAATGAATGAAGGCACCTAAAAGTTTATTAGCAAATTCCCTGAACCTTGTTTTCATCCCGAATAAAATTAAAGTAACACGAAGTGTCACAAATATGAGAATGGAGGGGAAATATAAATATATCCTTAGACTGCACTGGTTATCAGAAGCATGAATTCCTAGCTAAGCCCTTCAATAAGCTTCAATCGCCGCAGTATTTGAAAGACTTCTAGCATGATTCAAAACTTTAACAAGAAACTGGTGTGTTCGAGTACTATGTTCATGTGACTGGTTGAGTATGCAGGGAAGATTTCTGTCGTCCTTACAGAATGTATAAAGGCTCGTTTTCGCACCTCATTTGTGCCCCCTAATTACTGTTTGGCCAGTTGGTTCAGTTAAATACGCATCAGGGGGAAGAACTAAAGATAAATTGAGACACAACTTTTGTGCGATTACATTTGTATCGATACACTCATGTATATTGTATGTCACGCCCCATGGGCCAAGCTGAAATATGAAATAAAGATTGGCATCCTTTCGGCAGTTTTTTGAATACTATGGACGCAAAATTTTACCACGAAACGAAACTACAGAAACTCTCGACCCAATCGCTAAACCAAATCGCTCCAAGAACCGAATCTTTTCAACAGAAGGCGGTTGTCAACCTCATCGAAACGACGAAAAATAAGTAGCCTAATACGAGTGATTTGGTTGAAAGCCAGTTAGCTGATGAACTTGGTCAACGTTAGTGGTTAATCAACCAAAAACTATATTTAAAAATGAATTTTCACTGTATCTGTTGTGTCTTGCTGATGGTGCCGCATTTTCTAAATAGATCCTTGGCTTCCTGCTCCGCCCATTACGGTATATCAAAAGGCACGGTTACTTGCAACAGCCCTTTATAGAGGCAGAGGATGATTGTTACAACTGTATTCATAGGGTCATCACAGAATGTTCCGTAAGGCTACACTAGAATCTTCGAGCTAAAGATTCTCGATCCAGATTGGCTGACATTCTGAGCAATCAAGGCCTGTCTGCATTTGGTCCGGAGCCCGCGCGTGACACATCCGTCCAATCGACGTGATGTTCGGCTATTAAGAGCCGCTGGTCTCCGATCAATATCAGACGAAGCTACAGCAAACTTGAGTGGTAGAATGAACTACCGACCTGAGAGTTTACGAATGTCAATGATATAAGGGGTGGATGATGCAGTATATAGGTTTGCAGTCTCGAAATGCCAATAAATACGCTGAAAAGAAGGCGATGCATTTATAAATATTTTCCATCCTTCCTTCAGTTTTATGCTGTGGATTGCCGGATTATTTCTGGAGCGACTTTTTTGCACATCTTCGGATGTTTGTGTGCAGTTGGCCATCAAAAAAGGTGCGATACAAGTGACATGGAAAATACGAATATTTTGCGAAATAATTAAAGCCATGCCAAGTCCATAGTCCATCCTTTAGACACCGGTTTGACTTCGATAGCTTCGGTCATCCTTTTCAACCGGTTTTCTTCCTTGTAGTCCAACATTTTCTAGAGCACGTGATGTGATTGATTCTCTTCCAGAATCCACCACTGAATGGAAGCTAGACTTGTTTTTTCAGGCTTACCACTAAGCAGTTCGTGTCAGTTTTACTCCCCATGTACCAGTTACGCCCCACTGAGAACTCAACTCCAAAGAAACATTGTCTGACTGTCCTCTCAGATGGATAGTGCAGACATTTGTTTATAGGTAACACGAGTGTGCTAATATAACACATTCGGTACAACTGTCCCAAGTCACAGTTCATGAGCGCCCGTTTACTGGGAGGTATGTAGACACAAATTTACCATCCATGGCAGATTAGTATCGAATGGAGAAGTTGTGAGGAGAATCGGTTAGGGTGCAGGAGGATGGGCCTAGCATTACGCCGTATCTGTTGGGTGTTTAGTTGGACATGACTATAGACAGCAAACTGTAGTTGAGCAGCACGACTACGAAGAGTCCAGCAAACCGACCGACTCAAGGATATGATTCATACGCTGCGGTATTTTCCAGCAGTATTAATGGACCACATCAAATTAATTCACAAGTGAACATTCCAGAGTAGAACAAATGAATATCGCAGATAAGTTGCTGAAAATATCCGCCAATTCAAGAAGGTCCCCTCATTAGGTTGAAACACAGATACTGATACATTCCCATAGCAGAAAAAGATGGACGGTTTAGTCGCTTGTGACTGAAAAATTATGACGTATTCAGAAGAAAAAGTGTAGTACCCGCGACGAACGGTTGCTCTTAGACGGATGCTAAGGAAACTGGATGGAATGATCACATGGAAAGATAGTAACCGGCAGATTGCCTGTATGTAACGGAAGTGATGGACGCACATGATCCATATAAGAAAACTGGTTCATTATAGCCATATGTTACCCTCGATACATACAACAAAACGAACACCACATAGAAGCTGAGAATTGGCCCGAGATGTCTCCCATGCGAAGTAAGTATGGGTATTCGGGAACTCAGCTACTCACCTGTCCCCGCATTGCCACAACAATATTCTGAAGTCGAGCGTTGAGGCCAGACAAGACGTCTGAAGATAAGCGCTTTGAACCTTGAATCTGAAGACTGGGCGATCTGGTCATATTGAAAAAAGGATAGACCGCAGTGCCAATGAGAGATGGAAGATTAGTTGCAATGAACTACAATAACTCCCCTTAAGTTATGCTCTTCCAAACTGAGTTAATTCACCTACGATCCTCCCCGCAATTCCGGGATACTGCTGAAACTCAAGTGCCTGTCAGAAGGATTTCTGTTTTCTACATGACAATGGCAAAGCCTCACACACTTGAAAAGAGCCACCATATGCGCAGAGTGAAAGAAATATAACAAATCTGTAAGTGCATGTAAGACTAGCAGGGGAGTGTCAGGACACATCATATTCTCATGGATCTCCCAGGTGTCGCATTCCGTGAATTTGTCCCGACCATCAAGACAGAATTCAGTTAGAATGCCTATTAGTCACGCAGATGACCTGAAACCCATAGGCATAAACACAGTCTAGGCGTTCATCGGGTGTCCTGTCATTCTTCTGGGGGACAACTGAGTATGAACTGGCAAAATAGAAACCCCAAGGTTAGACAGCACCTAAAGTCACATCAGGATGACCATACGAAAAACCACTTACGACTTAGGGTAGGCTGTATCACAGGTGACACGCAACAACACCGTATGTTTGTTCTTCGGCAACCCGGTATTGTGCGCGCCTTTGTGCGTTTTTTCATGCTTTTTTCGAAAACCAGAGTGGAGCGCGACAGATATGTTTAACGGAAAAGCCGCATCACCAATCACACGCAAGCTGTCGACACAGTTCTGTAAATATATATGCACGGGAATCCGGCAACATGTTCACATCACCTACCAGAGGTTTGCATTCTAGGCCGTCGACCGAGACAATTACATCAGGAAAGACGGACAACAAGACAAACAATTCTTCCTTCTGAAGTTCTTGTGGCGTACGCTCACTGTCGAACATAGTACACGGGTGAGAATGCGGCTAGTTCACTTCATGCTGGTCATCTGATAATATCGCCGCAACAGGCGAAACAACCATCAACTCCAACACATCTGAAATGATAAAATAGCATCAAAAATAAGGAGGGTAACTCCGCTAAAGAACTGGTTCAAACAAATCTGCAGAAATATATCACTTGACATTCGGCGGCAAGCAAATGCAGTCAGTCGTTTAGCTACTCAACCACAAGCCCTGTACCGGAGTAACTAGCTTAGGCCCAATAGTTCTACTTGTCCGCCTTAGCACACAATGAGGAAGCCACATGATAAATGAAGTTTGGACGTGAAACCGTGTGGTGCGGAACCGGTGTTCCATCCAGGAAGAACTGAGTTTACTCGCCAATCCATGGACTAGTTTCCCCTGGTTTGTTTCCATCCGAAACATGGCTGGCCGAGGATTTTCAAAATCATACGATGTGTAAAGCCTAACCTTATGGAATGTAACCAATGAAACCATGGGGTAACTTTTCTGGAAACAATCTGGTGTACTCAGTAACGTTGATTGGATGTTTCCTCGAGATCGGACAGAGTCTCCGAAGCTCAGCGGTCCCATCTCTGATCCACCGATTGTACGGTAGCGGCGTGTACTACATCCTTCACAGCCCAAACGAAGTCTATTTGACACCAAAAATGTAACAGGTTGGAAAAAGCTCCCCTGGATTTCCCGATTCTTAAGCGATTCCTTCTTTCGCCAACTGATTTACACCTATAAAGCTGCCTAGACAGATGATTTTGAATACTACATCAACAGGTCCATCTGCAATCATGAAAGATCCCGTCCAAACAGTCTTATCCGATCAGTAGCTGCAACACCAATGTGATGTGCTCAGAGAGCTCGGAGGATGACCGTGAACATTAACACATTGTTCGATGTGGTCTAAGTGATCTCAAAACCAGAGTAGGTGACTGCCTTAAAAGCAACCTTTCAGCGCAGTACTGCTGGAAGTCACAAAATTATTTCTTACTTCCTGCGTCCTCAGATAGCGCTACCCATATATAGATGAGTCACGCCAATAGGTCATTGGCTCGGTTGCTTTGCCAGTTGGACTGTTGAGTCGAGGGCTGTGAACAGAGCACCAGAAAAAAAGCGTACCTTGCCTTAGGTCCTAAGTCTGGGTCGAAGCCTCAAGGTTTCTTACCTCAACGGACCCCTTAATTGAGCAACAGAGAATTATTATCTGCCACGCAGTAAGATGTGAACAGACACCAGAAAAAAAAGCGTACCTTGCCTTAGGTCCTAAGTCTGGGTCGAAGCCTCAAGGTTTCTTACCTCAACGGACCCCTTAATTGAGCAACAGAGAATTATTATCTGCCACGCAGTAAGAACAGCGGCTAGTCACCAATTTAAATTGTCAGCCCCGACCCTAATTACTGCCCATTACGCTACGACCGTGCCTGTCTGTAGTCCTGCTTGATCAACATTCATTCCCAGCGGTCTACTCAAAAGCTAGCCACGCACTACTAAAATCAAGGAGTACTCCTTGATTTTAGTAGTGCGGTTAACACGTGTTAACCGTTCAGTCTTGCTGAACGGTTGTGCAACTCTGCATCGGTCCTTGCCTCCCTGCTCCGCCCACTTTGGTATATAAAAAGGCAGCAGTCTATGGAGAGACGAAAATCACTACGGCCTTATTTATAGGCAATCACAGAATGCTCCACAAAGTCGTGCTAGAATCCACGTAAGAGGACAAGAAGCGTCGAGCTAAAGTTGCTCGATCCAAATTGGCTGAAATTCTGACCAATCAGGGCATTTCGCCGTTTGATCCGAGACCTGAATGCGACAGCTGGTGTGATGTTCGGCTATTAGTGGCGGCTGGCCTCTATACACTTCTTCCTTAAAAAGGCTAGTAAATCGACCGCTGCTGTGAACTTCACTGTGATGATTCACGAAGTTGCTGTCGCATGTCGGTTCCTCCTTGTGGTGCGAGGATGCCGAACTGGGATCTGGCGCGCCCTATTTCGCAGGCACTTCACGGCTGTCCGAAGTCCCATGCGACGTGCTTCCATTACGGAAGCCTAGTGTGTTGTCTGAAGTTGGTTCCCTTGATGCGGCCGTGCCTATGATCTTAATTGTGCCTCTTGCTTGACGTGGTATTCTACCCTTTTTTCTTGACCTTCCGGATAGCAGTGAAATGATCCGCATGAACCTGGGGCTGTAAAGTGGAGAATTCTGGCCTTGGGTGAAAAGTCGCAGGCTGCTGCAAGGATTCGCCAAAATGGACTTAATTGAGAGGGTTACCTTTGCCAGGCTCCAGGAGCTGAATAGCCGCCGCATCGCGTATGTTCCCTTTGGTCTTCGGTTTGGTTGTAACTCTAGCGACCACGAAGTTATCAGGATAGTGGCAGTGGTAGTCTCCAGAACGTGTTGCAGCCATCTGCATTTGTTTACACAAACAGCACTGAGAAGTTGTTCTAAGAGTTGAAGCTCAATAAGCGAATCCAGGTCTAAGAGATCAAGGTCCGTATAGTTCGTGAGGTAGCACATACCGTTGAGTTGAAATTCCTTGGGCGTTGTGGAACAATTCAGCTTCCAGGTCAGTCTGAGGCCTCCACCAGATGCAATAAGAGCGATGCACTTGTGTGCTCCACCGGTGGCCTTCTAAATACGTCCCAAGTTTGTTTTGAAGCCAGGCAGAATTTTGAATCTGTATCGAGCAGAAGGATAACCGGTCTGTCGATACATAATGCGATGAATTTGCGTCGGCCGGGTGATTTCATCCTGATTGTTGCGGCCATGGCACGTATCTGCGTCTTTTTGTCACGGATTCACGGATTGAAACACAGGATCGAGGTTTCGCCCAAGTTTCCCGGGTCGGTTTTATTCTTGTTGTTCAGCGGCTCTCTTTCACCTGAAGGGCACAAGTGAAAAAGATGTAGCACTGCTCGTCATGCTTTCAGCGCGGGGCAGTATGCTTGCCAGCGCAAGGATTCCCATAAATAAATGTCTAGTAATGCTTTGAGCTGGGTTCTAGAAGGGGCGTGGACGACCGTCGGAGGTAGGTCATTCCACGCAGCTACTACACGGAATAGGAAAAATTTTGCCTAATGAATATGTGCCCTCTGAACTTGGAAATCTTCCTACTATGTTCCCGCCGTATGTTTGCTGGGTCAACGGTGAAAGACCTGTTGAACAAGCTTCGTTCAGACAGGGCATAAGTAAGAATTAGGGCCCCTCGGAGGTGACGACACTCCAGGGGAAGGAAATCAAACATCGTGAGACGTTTCGTAGTCCACGGATTTGAGGCCGACAACCACTCTCGTAGCGGCTCGCTGGACTAGCCCGATGAGGGTGACATCTTTCGAGTAGACGACTTGGTTGGCGTATTCCAGGAGCGGTCTGACTTGGGCTCCATGGAGTATTTGAAAGTCCATGCGAGTGGCACGGGAGAAGGTGCGTCGGGTCGGTGCTCGTGCGAGTCCTTGAAGTTGTCTCTGAAGCATTCCCACTTGTAGCCCTTTTGATTGCACTCACTGCACTTGTGGTTCCGACATGGACTGTGGCACAAATAGTGCCCATCTTTCCAAAACCACCAGATCGTCAGTGGTTTTCTTGGAGCTCGTTCAGAATTTGATTATCTTTTGGAATCTGCAAACGTGTTGAGAGAATACCCGAACACTACAGCATCAGCCTTGAGACTGATAATATGCTGGCATTCGGTAATAAGTTTCTGAAGTGTCATCGCTGGGTCCTGTTTAATTCCTTCCATTGGCAGGGACCGAATATCCATATTATGTAACGATTAATGATCATCCACGAAGATGAGATCCTTCAACTAATCCTCGGTCTTGGTGCTGAGCTGATGAACCTCACATGCTCTGTTGACCACATAGGTAAAAGTGATGAAACATTCAGTATCTTTTTTTAACTTTGACGCACTGAAAAAAAATTTGAACAAGGAGTTTGCAGATTGAATATTTAGGCCAGCATATTGACTGCGTCTGCAAAACCAAAGTCCTGAAAGAATATTGGGAGTATGAAATTTGTGAACCGATCATTTTCAGGTGTCCTCGGTTTCCGCAGCAACAGTCGGACTTTCCGTACATCATCAAACTGAGCTTAAAATATGTCCTCATATTTCTTGAACCAACCAGCGTCAAGTGGCCTCTAGTTGTTAAGTCTTGCGCCACCCACTATGGTGTGTCAAAAGACGCGGTAGCTTCAGTCAGCTCTTTATGTGAGGACGAATTTCATCACAACTATATTTATAAGGCCATTGCAGAGTGTTCCAAAAGGTCATACTAGATCCAGTACCCCGTGGTGTCAGTGGTATGGATGTTACGCTGAGTACAACGGTCGACAAAGCTCGGTTTGACTGGACCCCCGTGAACTGACGGTTGCCTAAAACCCAACTAGCTGAGTCTGTTGGAATCCACATCGGCGCTATGACCAGGGACAGCACCATCAGCGCTAACGTTGATGCTTCACTGCTCTACAGGCACAATGCTAATTATCGGTGTTGAAAAAGTAATTTAAACAAGACAAGAGTGGATGGGGAGGGACTCTATGGCAGCCTATGCATCCCATCTACGTTGCCTAAAACTCCAGATGCGCCGTCAAACAATCCAGGAAGTACCCGGAGGCACAAACGAGTGTAGGAGGTTGGATATTCATGCCGGGTACTCTTTTGTGTATGGAAGGTGTGTAGGAAAGTTCTTCGAAAACCCTGAAACCCAGTAATGATGGAACGTAATGATCAGATTAAGCTCAAAATTTTATTACACATCCACCGTTGGGTAAGTGCCGCTAGCAGCACGGGCCGGTCGACAGCATCGAGCGCAAACTCAAAGTAAAACGACGCCAGTACCGTGGATCCCTCCAAATGCATCACTAATATAACATCTGCTAGTGTGAAGATGCACTGATGCTGCTTATAACCGATGGAATCCTGCTCGGTTTTTGCGGGAAAAATTATGCGTGCTGCCTTAGAATCCGTATGTAGGGGTGTGAAGGATGCTATGCAA